AATTCATCGCTGATTTATTTGTGGTTCTAGTGTCAATTGGTGGTGTTTTAAATGAACACATGGGTATAGCTCATTTAGTTTATGTGTATTATGATGATACTTAAAGGGGTCATGAACTTAGAAATCAAATTTTCCTTGAGCTTTTTATAAGAGATCATCATACTATAAGAATATCAAGTAAGTTTAAAAAATTGAAAACTTCCTTGTTATTCCAAATACAACTTTTATTGTTACCAAGCCCAGCGAACGACTCGTTCATGAATGTACCTCTTTATGACGTAATAGGTGAAAGACCGCCTCTGCAGAAGAAAATCAACGCCTACTTCATCGTAGCAACTTTGGCCCCGCCCACTAGCTTGTTGAGACTGAGATGACGAGAGGAGATACAGGATAGACAATAAATAATGGTCCAAATAACTTCCAAAAGATCCCCAATATTAGGAATGTGGTTATTTTGTTTATTTTCAACAATGTGAATGTCTTTATTTATTTGTATTCAGTTCATTTCACTGTGGATTCTTTGGTAAAACAGTCGCAATTTTGGCACAAGCTTTGCAAACAGACTTTACTATATGGACTCGACAATGCCACAACATGTAATTAACTGTTAATTCTAATGCCTCTTCACATTGTTATAGTAGGATGAAAATAATCTGTTATTTGAACGCTCCCTTTGCAATCGCTGGAGCTGTCAATCAAACAGGGCGTGTTTATCAGTGACTGAGTTCTGGACTCGCGCCAAAACTCCTGTAATAATTAACAAATCTCCTATTTGCATTGTGTTTGCACTGTTAGTTATGATGAAAGCATCCGTTATTGTGCAGAAATCGAGTTGCAATGACAAGATCACATTCATGCGCTGAACATGTCTGTGATCGGATCCAATGCTCATCACTGCAACCTTTCTAAATATACCGATCTAAATATAATGCCATAGATCTAAGTATAATACTATATAATCAACACTATACACGATTAATAAACCTTGAGAGTTGTAAAAGCGTGCAAGTTTGAGAGAGTTCCACATGTAATACTATTTAATATGCAAAGATGTCAGCCAATCACAGCAGTGGGCGTTTACTTTACACTGAAGCCTCACAGCAGACACGCCCCTTCAAATCAGGGTAGGAATAAGACCTGTAATTTCTAAATTATGACATTTTTATATAAAAATCATACTAACATTATAAATGCACCACAGGAAACATTATAAAACAATAAAACAATGCAGTTCAGAATCCCTTTAAGGGAAATAGTTAAAACATGTTATGTTGCTTACTGCTTTTATGTCCATGGGGACATTACAGACATGGATGATGTCTTTAATCCACCCTGGAAAGTTATTATGTTCCATTTAAGACACTACCCATAGTGTTTTTATCTTAAGAATAAAAAAACTTTAAATGGAGACAAAATTACAATAATGTAAACCATGAGCCATGTGAGAAAAACACGGAGGTAACTCTTTATGACTCATAAAGACATAATTTAATTCACCAGGATGCTCTTTAAGTCAGCCTGATAGTGATTTAAAAGTTTCTGATATCATTACCTTTCACCAAAGAAAAACAGACAATCCAGTTTCTTTAAGGACAGTGCAGTATACAGTGAGTATGTAAGCATGCATTAATTATGTGTAGTATACGTCTTCATACTGTACACCCTGTGACCTAGTTTTCTAGTTAAAATATATATGAGCATATCCATTTTTGTACTTGCACTCACTCTTAACATCTAATAGTTTTTTTTTTTAAAGCTGCAGTCCGTAGCTTTTTTGGGGTTAAAAATTATCCAAAATACATATTTGAGAAAATACATAACCAGCCAGTGTTCAAAACTCTCTGCTTGCCTTAGCTCGATTCAAACCGGTAAGCTTGTAATAATGTTTTTAATTCCAGTGGTACTGGTGGATTTCCACGGGAGATTCGAGCATGTCTTTGCGTCATTACGTCACATCTGTACACATAAAGAAGGAGTCTCGGCTACTAGTATAAGCTATATTGCGTGTGAGGATGTTGGAGGTGGAGATTTATAGCCTTTTCTCGCAGCACTTGATATAATTAAACTTGTCAATTTGATGGCGGATCCAGAAAGGTTCAAACGACAATCACCAGTGATAGCTGGAGACTCACCCGTTGTAAAATGAAAAAGACTTCGCTCGGACTTCGGAGTGGCTACAGAAAAAAAGAGACTGCAACCGGACCCATGTGAAAACAAGGACACATATCGGAAGGACATTACATGTAGTCACGCAATGCTGACGTTGTTAACATTAACAATTTGAGAACAAAGTATAATTTGCACGGTTTTGCGTGATATGATAACTTATAAGCGCTTGTTAGATTTAACCAGCGCGATTTACTGCAATGTCAGAACCAGAACAAAAGTGGATGTTAATTTCCAAAAAGAATAATCTGTGATTCTGAATGACAGTATCCACACCGGCGCGGCGACTAACAGCCGCACACTCTCCTCAAACATTGTGTTCATCCGCGCTGTGCCGCTTCGAAGTACAACTCACGTAAAGTTGATAATTCCGCGAATAACTGCAATTGCAGATTTCGAACAGAGATGGCGACAAAGAGGAAAAACTGTAGACTACAGCTTTAAATAAAATCTAGAAAATTATTCATTATAACAATTATTAAATATAATAATTATTTTAACATTTTCTCCCATTCTCCCACAACAAAAACTAATTGACTCGTAGGTTGATTTCTCAAAAAAGTATAAACACTGGCTTTGTTGCGCTATCAAACACTGCTATTTGTTTGATCATCACAATCCATATTTTCAGACTAAAAGGAAGACAGATGGCAAATCCAAATGGTGGCGCTAGTGGCACTGAAATTACATGGGTTTCATTCACAAAAAACAAGTAATGGTTGATAAAACCAATATTAATTGTTTTATAAATTAAAAAAATTAAATAAAAATCACGCTCAAACATCTAACATGCTATATTGACAATGAGCTGCATTGGTTTTCTATTCTATTCATATTCCCTTTTAGAGCATTCCTTCTGCTAAACAGTTTGTTTGTTTGTTTTGTTTTGCTGAGCTAATTCAAATGTCCTGCTGAAAACATTCCCCAGACTCCTCACGTGTTAGTTGCAGTTGTGAGAAATTGCCTCTCACCTGCAATATTAATACTGCTGCTGTCAGAAAACATCTGTGCCAGTAGACTGAGGATTTCAGACGAGCTAACCACACAACTACCACGTGCACTCACATCACACACACAAACAATGTGATTAAAGATCTAATTATGCATGAGGATTCAGATTGGCCGTGTATCCGTTTTTAACTCGAGGGGACAGGAACAAACACTAAAACACTTTTTGTGCTGGGTTAAAAAATGACACAAAAAATCTCATCAGTATCAAAGTTTTGGAGGGCGCTACATATGCTTCATATCTGCTCTCTTAAACTATATATAAAAATAGATGTGTTATGTAATGCTATATTTGTGATTAGATTTATTATTCCAAATTCACACATAGGTATATGATCTGAACTTTTTGATATATTGCAAATATAAAATATATAAAACTATTTAGTTACAGTGTGCATCTGAAATAATATAATAAATATAAACAATATATTTTAAGATCCTGCATTATGTGATGCAAAACCGCATTACTATTATTATTCTGGACTAATGAGCAGTCATGTTGCTTAGGAAAGGTCCGGTCATTGGTCAACACTTTAAATAGCCACAAATTACAATAATTACATCTCAACAAAGAGAACAAGCCCAATCTCTGGCCTCCTGGATGGACAGTGATCTGGCCACCTGAAAGGGCCAGATTGGCTTAGTATGTAAACAGGATCTCCAGTTAAATCCTGCTCTTCAGTTCTGCCTACAACTTTGTTTTGAAAAAACCTGATCCGCATGTGGACAAACGCTTGTCAGTTCAGTTGTAGGCGTAGATTTGCTAACAAAGGCCAGGATGTTTCTCGAGCTTCTGTTACTGGCATTGTGCGGTCAGTGCATTACACTGGCTGGCAGTTACAGAATGGGCAGCTTAGCACTGCCTTGGGCTCATGTGTCTATAGTCGTGCCGCTGATCCATTTATCCAATTATGATTTACAATGCTGGCTAAGGCAGAGAGTCTTACCTGTGCAGGAGAGAGGATCATTTGTAAAAATTTGGCTCTGACATCATACACTCCTGCATCACATAAGAAGCTAAGCCTCTTTACACATGGGGAGGTGAAGGAATGCATTATCGGATATGGGTATTGGAGGTCTCGACATCTAAAAGTCATATTCAGGACACTCATCATTCTCTCATTTGTGACAATATGCACTGACCAGTCACCACATGCAAAGATTAAAATCACCTGACAATCACTGACAAAAATGCCAGTGAAAAAGCATGTGGTTCTCAAAATTTTTGCCTTTAAGGCCCTCTAAAAAATGGTAAAGGCCTCATCCTCTGAAACTAGTAGTGTCAATAAATGAAAATAAATACAAATAATTAATTTCATAAGTTAAAAGGGTATGTTCTTCATTAAAAACAACAATGTCCGAGAAGAAAAAAACATTAGAAATTGTAGCCTATGCGTTTTCACATAAAATTGATTTGTCAATTTAGGTGTTTTAAAAACTTATCTTGATTTTAAGTATTTTAACTACTTTAATATAAACTATTTTAACTAGTTTTAAGTCGTTAGTGAGACCACCTATTTTAAATAATTTTAAGAAGTTTACTGAGGCCGCCTAGTGTACCACGCCTCCGTTTGAGAACTAAGACTGACTGACTGAGCATGAAATGCATAAAGCAAATGAGATATATGCAGGGAACGCAGGTAATTTATGCCAAAGGCAAAAAAACAACCCAGTTGTATATCAACCCAGACTAGTTTTACTAGCCGTTTCCCCCCGACTCCAGGGCCTGACCTCACCTCACTTTCCGTCGGTACTTTTCCGCAGGCGGAGCTCTACCGTGACGTCACGCGCGATACAGCTCCTCCGTGGCTTTTGTTAAGCGCGTGCTCCAGAGTCGCTGTCAAAGCTCGCTCGCTGATCAATCTCGATACCTGGAACGACAGGGTTGTACGGACGCAGAAACGTGCTATATCTATTGCTTTTGCAATATCCCCAACCAACAGCTTTTAATTGACCTTAAATATGTCTACCATCGTCTACCGTCAAACAGATCAGGTAAGAATCAATCTTATATCAGTAATGACTGAAGCTTCATGTCTCCTGTCCTCCCAGGATTCTTTCATACTAGCAGCTACGTGTTTATTTTTAAAGATCTACAACTGAATTTTTTTTTTTTTTTTTGCTTCTACATTGTTATTTTGTGTTACACATACAGACACTTCACTTGTATGAACTCACGCGATTGCCATATGGTGCGTTGTAATCACAGTCTATGGTTGTAATCTGCTGTGCAATCGGCAACTGCATGCGTTGCTCTCATCAAGAGATAGAATCGCTCGCGTGAGATCAACGTTTGCTGTGTGCACTGTGCAGCAAACCGTGATTTTTTTTCTTCTTCACATGTTGAGTTTTTTATTTATTTATTATTTGTAATTTATTTTAAATGAACGAAATAAAGTGAGTAATATTTTCCTACAAAATAAACGGGCGTTTTTACAGTTAACGTTACAGCGAACGTCACCAACTGGTATTTATAGTATTGCGGGTGCTGAAATATTGCACATTTAATTCATTATACATTGGGCAAGCAGCTCTACACCCACTACATTCATGTAATTTCCGTTTCATTTGAAAAGAGGCTTGATTGTGCTAACAATGATTATGCTGTTGTTGTCTGCTCACAATTTTAACATTTTTCCATTCTTAAAATGAAATAATCCTTTATCCTTCATCATCATTAAAAAGAACAGTAAATGCCGACGAACACACGAATGAAATTAATGAAAAATAGGAACGGGACGATTTGTCAAGGTAAAAAAAAAAAAGAGTGACCGGTGTGGTTCATTGAAAGCAGTGCACGTGTATTTTGACGCAGAACATACATTTTACCTCGTCGTTGATCTTTAGTCAGGAATATATTAAAATTACGACCAGGTCCTACTGACCTAGTTTTGGATTTTACTGTAGGCTTGGTCGAGATGTTCAGAAACGTTCTAGGTTCCGTATGATGCAAGCTTCATTGTGCGGGGAACGTGTATACGAGGCGTGTTGATGGACACGTCATCTGGCCAATCGTATCGCTCGGAATCATACGTTCTGGCCTATCAGGATTCGTGGATGTAATGGGGCGTAACCACAGAAATTTGTTTCTGCATGTTTTATCGTTTGCACTTAGCATCGATGATAGTCAGATGACATTTGATTGGGATTAACATATGGTCTCATACATTTTGTAGATATTTGGAAATATATGTAAACTATGTATATTTGTAGAGTTTAAATTATTTACACATTATTCTTAATTATTTTATGAAGCTGCATTTCTCTAAAATCATCTTATTTCCAAACCTGACTTAATTTCTTTTGTGGAAGGAGATGTTAGGCAAAACTGGGTGAACTATCTATAAGGTACCTATTTGTTTAAGTGATATATGGAAAAATGTGTAGGTATGGCAAATGCTGTGGAATTTCCCTGTCTGGTTATAGGTGTTAATAATATTATTATTATTATTATTTGCTTCTTTTCTCTCTACATATATGTTATCTCTACATTATAGGCTACCTGTAATAATTTTCACAACCTATGTTCCCACTCCCACAGTAGGCCTACATCCCATTTACAGTGTTGTACACATCAAATCTCCAGTCATATTTAACAATCCCATTTACAAGTCACAGGAATCCGCAGTTTCACTTCTCATAAAGCCGTTTCCGTTCCTTAACTCCACATCTGCCAATGGATGACCTAATTGTCACTGCAATGCTTTATTTGTAAGGGAAATATATGCAGCAAATGCTGTGCTTCCTAAACTACAACCTTTCCTTGTGCATTTTGATACATAGATTCTTATAGAGTAGAAATAAAAGGCTGTTTTTGTATTTATTTTCAGAGAATTACTTGGGTGTTTAATTGCCTTTCCTCCATTGCATGTTGGTTAATATGAATCACTTGCGGACATTTTCTATTACGGCCACTGTGAATAAAATCAGTGTTCTGTCTCTCAATTTTCAAACATTCTTTATACGTGGTGAAGGATTATGCAATTTTCCAGCCTGTTCTCATGTGTGAGATCACCTGTTGGCTCTGTTAGCTCACTCCTTAAACTGTGTTCTCCCATTAACCTTTTTCCATAAAGGTTAGCTTTTTATTAGAGAGGGGCAGATATAAATAAAGAAGCAAAGATCCCAGCTTTGCTGCCCTTTCCCCTCAGAATGTAATCTGTAAATTCACAAAGTAAATAAATAAAATCTAAATAAAAAAATTCTACAAAAGTAATTATTGTAATTATTATGATGGAGCAGTCATAATGTGTTTCCTTTCCATCTTTGTAATTACGAGTTTAAATTTCTGCTCTTCTGCTGCCTGACCTGTGGGTTTATGGAAAGAGTAGCAGTGTGTTTTAGTTTAGGCTGAGAGAGAGTAAATCACGGATTTTGGCAGGTGTTATCTAACCCCTGGAAATGCAGCTCGGTCTGTAGTTCACATCTGAATATGATTTTATGATATAATTTTTCTCCATGCTTCTTCCATAGCCTCTCATGATCTTGCACAATCATTTGACCAGAATGTTATTTTTTGTTGCACACCCAATGCCCGTCCTACACATTTTATGCAGACTCTACATAAGTTTATCACTGTTGTGCAAGCCATTCATGAGCTTAAAGGTACATCGAGGGATTTGTCAACTCAGTAAAAAAAAAAGTATGTTGGAGCTTATTAGTTACTATAGACGTCCAGGGCCATTCATTAAAATCATTATTATTTGTATAGCATTAACAATGCCAAGGTCATGACTCATGACTCATGGTCTTGATTCCTGGTAAAATTTGCTGTGAATCAATTTGCATAGCAAAATCTGGCCAATGATTAAATCTAAATGTTAGCAAGCCTGTGTGTTTCGGACACTGAGTAATGTAGTTCACCTTTTTTCTCAGAGCTGGCGGAGTTCCTAGAGAGAAAGCGTGACTTGCAAAACAGGGGTCTCATGACGAAGACCAATATAATTGTATATGTCGCTTGTGATCATGGGCACACTATAAGCGGGTTGAACTATCTAAAATTGCATGCAAGGAACACAATGTCCTCTCTAGCCTCAGTTTTATTTTTTAGCATGGCCATATGCGATGCATTAAGTTGTTGCTCAATCTGGGTTATCTGTTGAGTACTGCTGCAGAGTCAATAGAACAACTGTTGCTGTGTGTTTCAACCCATTCTCATCTTTCTCTCTCGCCTCGCTGTCTGTCCCACGCTTTCTGACTGAGCGGGCTGTTCTCTGCATGCCAGAGGGGACAAAAAAGATTATATGCACAAAATGGTCTTTCAAAGTGTTTTTCTGCCACTACGCATTTAATATCCGTCCGTCTTTTTGTCTTTTCACCCTCTGCTTTGTCAGTAATTGTATGAGGTTGCTGTGGTTGTCAGCACACAATGAACAGATTTGTGAGTCCATCTGAAGCTGCAAAGTCACCGTAGGCTTTATCTGTTGTCTAACCCGTAAGTGCCCTGGTTTAAAGTGTCAGTTCCTGATTCCACTCCAAGTGGACCAACAGCTCTCAGATTAAGGTCACTAGCTTGACACTGAACAGTTCAGACTTATCAATGAGTGGAAAGTTTCACGATTTAAAGGTCAGTGACATTACTTTAGTTATTTTTACCTAAAAATATTTTTGTATTGTAAAGATCAATACATATCTTAAAATATCAGATAATTTGACCGTTTACTGACAGGACATGGTTAATTCAGGTTGTAAAATGTGGTGTACTCCCCAAAATAAAAAATAAATAATGAATGAAAATTAAATAAAGTGTGTATATATATATAAATATATTAAAACATTTTTAAAATACTGGCATATGTTCAATGGGTAATTTTATTAAAATTTTAACTTTTATTTGTTTCAACACATTCACTTAATGGGTTATATTTTAATTTATTTATTTATTTATTTAAAGGGGAGCTTTCCTTTCGGATAATCTTATGACCCTTCATTGATTTTATTAATATCTCTTGACTTTTTTTGTTTTTAAGTTGGAAGGAGTTTTGATTAACTTTAGATTTGAGATTTAGTGGAATAAACTTCAGTGTTGAAGATCAGACAGTTGAAACAAGAAAGGTTTTGGTGAGAACTTACAATGAATCATAATTTAATGCTTCCATCTTTTTACTCATCCTTGTGCTTGAAAGCGTTTCTCCAATGGCACTTATCTTCAAGAGGAAGCATCTCTATGAGAAGGTAAATTAAGGCCTAGAGTTTTCCGATTACTGTTTTCAATAATCAGCCCCTGCGTAGGAAAGAGCAAGAGAGGATGAGCAGATTATCCAAAGACCTCCACTGCCTGCATTTACGCCGACTGAGGCTGAAGTGAATAAAAGGATGTGTGTGGAAAAATACCAGCAGGTTTTCATGCAAAACACAAGGATTCCACACACTGGAGCTCATTTGTTTTTCGCTTAGCATTTTTCCATCCCCACACAGCTGAAGCCACATCATTGTGGGAATGTGATAAATCCATCAAAATTGCTGACCGAGTGAGGAATTTTCTTGGTTTTGTGACCATCCTCCGCCCCTAGAATTGGGCCATCTGCTGGCTGAAAAGGCATTGAAAGACCTGTGGAAATTTCCAGAAATCCTGTGGGTGTGGTAGTGCCATGTGGTTAACGGGGGAAGGACATGGAGAGAATTTGTGTTTGGGTGTTGTAGAAACGGTCTGACCAAGGGAGGCTTGATGGGAAGGTTGGAAAAGCATGTTCTGAGATTTAGGCAGCTTCTTGAATTAAGTCTGCATGAGACCGATTCTCTCAGGATTAATTTGAACTGTCTGTGCAGCAGAAGTGAAGGCTGATCCCGAATAAGGCACGTGCTTAACACCATGAAAGCAATCAGTAGTGCAAAGCTGGGTCAGTCTATGATCTGCAGCGTTTCTGCCCTTGAGCGGCACATGAACCTTTCAATTCCATTGGTTTTTTTCACATCAGTAATAGATGTTGTGGACATTGACGTTCTAAAAATTGCCATTGATGTGATCAGTGTTCCTGATAAAATCCTGCTATATGGTGTCATTATAACCTCTTGTTTGTTATTTGTCCTGCAGGTTATAATGCACGATCAACACAGAAAAGGTTTGAGTCTATAGCCAACGGGACACCCGAGGACTTGATTGCAGTCACTCTAAGCCTGAGAGTTTGAGTCACCTCTGACCCCCTGCTGTGCCCTCTGGTTGCCTGGCATTGCCTTTTCCATCCACTTCCAGTGAAGTAAGACTTAGGCACTCCCATTCCTGGTTCTTCTTCACTCGTGCCTTTTTACCGCTTTCCCAAGTAATCTATCTCTCCCAGACAAACGCCATTCGGTATTAGGTAAGCGCATGACTTATACATGAGACTTAGTGTTATGTAGATGGTTTTATAGTGATTATAGACTGTGGCAGCTTTTTAGCCAGCAGCTAAAATGAATGATACATTGTATTTTTGTGTGCGTGGGTGATGTTTATGTAAGATGCACTGTGTGGGAAAGATATTTTGAGGTAAAATCATAAAATTGAATCAAGATTGTTTTTTAAAAAAATTTTTTGCTTTTGCAAAGGCTTAATTTCCAAAAAATGATTCCCAACGGATATTTGATCTTTGAGGACGAAAGTTTCCTGGATTCCACCGTGGCCAAGATGAACGCCCTTAGAAAGAACGGACAGTTCTGTGATGTGAGACTTCAGGTAACACACCCTTTTTTAACCTTATTATTCTCGGTGTCATTACGAGAAGGCTGAAACATGACTCAGGGAAGAAGAGTGTGTTTCATTAGACGCAGGTCCTGGATCTTTGAATGGCCTTTAGCTGTGTGACGTTCATTAATAGACAAAGGCAAACCCTCTGTGTTCATAATATTTCAAAGAATGCTTGAAAGCTCAAGTTGTTCCAAAAATGCATGAGTTTCTTTCTTGTGCAGAACACAAAAGAAGCTATTTTGAAGAATGTCTGTAACCAGACAGTTGACGGTAGCCATTGACTTCCAAAGTATTTTTATTTTTTCTACTATGGAAGTCAATGGTTACCTCAGCTGTCTGGCTACCAACATTCTTCAAAATATCTTCTTTTGTAAATGATGAAAGAATTTTCATTTTTGGGTGAAATATCCCTTTAATGATGCTGCCAAGCTATTACTATTGTTAATACTTAATATTTGGGATTTGTTCAAATTTGTATAGCAACCACTCAGAACACCTTAGCAACATTTGACTGGCCAAACATATCTGAAAATCCAGATTTACTTCAGTTCATTTACTTTCTGTTCATAAATTAAAACAAATGGTGCCTATTTCTTTGTTACAATGCCATTATAGACTTAACCGTTGCCTTTTTTTATCTCTGCAGGTGTGCGGCCATGAATTGATGGCTCACCGGGCAGTGCTGGCTTGTTGCAGTCCGTACCTGTTTGAGATCTTTAACAGCGACCTGGAACCTCACGGAATCTCCCATGTGAAGTTTGAGGATCTGGACCCTGAGGCTGTGGAGATCCTTCTCAACTACGCTTACACTGCCCAGTAAGAGACACACAACATGCAATTAGGGCTGGGCGATAAAACGATAACGATAATTATCGCGATATAATTTTTCTTGATAAAACGATATCAAGAGGTCGATAAATGTTCGATAATGTTTATGCGCCAAAAGCGGAACGAAACTCATTTGAACCGCGGGTGCTCACGGACCGTTTATCCGCTCGGCTCAAAGTCCAAACGGCAGCGCGAGCTCACTAGACTAGAGCAGACGCGTTTACTCTGATCGGCCTCGGTCACAAGATCCATTGAGAAGCGCTAGAGTTCAGCGAAGAACACAAATGTTTAAAGGCAGATGAAACACCGCTGACAAACAGGAGAAACACTGCGCGCAACGATATAGTCATAATCTGAATTGATACTGAATCCATTTAGCCTACCATGGATTTACTACTGTAAGGTTAGCCTAGTAATATTAACTGCACCATGAAATGTGGGATATACATATTGAATTGTATAATATTATTAATGTAGACAATGTATTAAATGACTAATGTAATATAATTACAGTATTTAATAATGTATTTAACTGTTAGGCTACTGTTTTTCATACAAATACCATAGAAACCATAAAGTTACATTTTGCCATGATAGTGAGGTGCTATAAGTTAGGCTATGCCTGGTTTTATCTGTGGTTATCATGATCTAAATGCATGATACTGGATGACCAATGGTTTTTAATAAAACTCAAACAGTCAGAATATTACATTTTACCAAATAAAAATGTGATCGTTACATTTTTTTTTTAAAACTTGAGTTAGGATGCAGATTTACTGTCAACTCACTATCAAATATGCATTTCGAGACAAAACATGTAATTTGAATATTGTAGCATAAACTGCAAACTGTGCTGAAGAAATATTTTTCTATTCAGATATTAATTTTGTTAAGGAAAAATGACAAATGTTTGAATGTTCTACCTCAGATTTGTGAAATGTTCACCTGTTTGGCAAGTGTTTGTCATGATATGTTCTGACAATAAAGAGTAGTTTAAAACCACAATTAACGCTCTGGTTTCTACAACTTTCACTTAGGAGCAAAAATCTGCCTTTAAACGGTTATCGTGATAATTATCGATATGCAATCAACCAATCAGAGCCATCATAGGGCACTTTTTCTACCATATTAATGGCTTCCCATTTGTGGCGATCAATGATTTCTGAAATTTAATTTTGCTTTCTGCAGGTTGAAGGCAGATAAAGAGCTGGTTAAGGAGGTTTACTCTGCAGCCAAACGGCTCAAAATGGACAGAGTGAAGCAGGTAGGCATATTAAGCATGTTTTTGTGTATTTGTGACTGGTTTACTTTAGATGAAGCCCTAACCTACTCTTTTGTACCTGCTACCTAGATCTGTGGCGACTACCTTCTCTCCAAGATGGATTCCCAGAGTGCCATCTCCTATCGCAATTTTGCCAGCTGTATGGGAGACGGGCGTCTGCTGGGCAAGATCGACAGCTATATCCAGGAGCACCTTCTAGACGTGTCTGAGCAAGAGGATTTCCTCAAGCTTCCACGCCTTAAAGTGAGCTGGCCTTTAACCTTTCAGGTCATGTACTATTCTTGATTGCACGCTTATGCTAACCACATACTTTCTTTTGGTCCGCTTTATAGTTGGAGGTGATTCTGGAGGATAACTTGACCTTGCCTAGTAACGGCAAGCTGTACTCCAAGGTCATCGGCTGGGTGCAACGCAGCCTGTGGGAAAATGGCGAACCCCTGGAGCGACTGATGGAGGAGGTCAGTACTGCGCTCCACTGTGAGCTCCTCTCTCTCTCCTCCCTCACTTCTTCCCCCTCGTAATTCATCCCATTCACAGATTTAACAGGTCCGTTCACACCAGCCATCTTAACGGTAGAGGTCGGTTGGGTTTGTTCTCTTTGGCTTCCATATATATTTTTTTGTTTGCTCTCCCCCTTTACCCACAAATCACCCCGCGCCTTTAAGAATATACGTTTAGGTACAGAACAGGGGCTGTTACACCCTCCGCAAAGGCGAGTGGGTAGTCCAGGTGAGCCAATCTAAAAGCCTCCTGAATGTTCAGTGCTGTGCAGTAACTGCAGCTACTCTTGTCTGCTCGCAGAGAGTGACATGGCATGTTGCCGTCCCAATGACATCTCTCTCTTCTCTAAGCAGGTGTGTGAGTGTGTGAGTGAGTGTGCGTTCTTTGGGAACCAGCACTAACAATTCTTCCTCCCCACTGATTTATCTCTCCTTAGGTTTATTAGAGCAAACATCAGCAGGATTCTCACAAGACTGAAGAAACCAAGACTGGGGGCCTCCAGGGTAATGAGTCAGTGAATGAAAGAAAATAACAAAAGAACGAGAGGGAGCCATGGTGAAAGAAGTGCTAGGCTCCTGTCTGTTAATCAAATGCACTCACCAACAGTACACAGTTCATTTAAAATGACACTTCAGATCTCCAAGTATAAATGCGTTGAACACTTCAAGACATTCACATATTAAGTCCACCTCACATACGACACCTCACACAACACAAGTCAACTGGCATATGCATGCATTGCAAAGTAAATTAAAGCATATTACACAGTTGTACATGCACACACTTACAGGATATTCAGATAACTGACTAAAATGAATGGTTTATGCCACTAGGGCATTTTACATTTACACAGTATACATTTGAATACTGATTACGTACCGTTGAAAGTAAAGGAAGAGAGCCATCGGCTTCATAATGGCACCTACAATGTCTTTTCTTCTAAATAAAGGAAGTGGAAACTGAGTGCAGCTTAGAGGGATGTTCTCAAGTCACTCTCAGTTCCTAGTTCCTTAATCTGCCTTTGGACACATTCCCAGTAGGGATGGGCACAAGTACTCAAAAGTGACAGCTGCAATAATTGCATTACATGACTTTTTCTCTCGTTTTCAAAATTTTACAGCAATCAGTATTCAGTAAACTACAAGAAGCTACTATAGCTATGCACAAATGGCCTCATTTGTAATTTTTTTATTTTATTTTCAGCGTTACCTACTGGTCCTAATCAGTTGGCTTCAGCACTGTAGACAGTCGGTCAAGGGCAGCTCCTTAAAAATGTGATACTCATGGTGCAAGACACTTAATAACTGCAACTGTGCTGTACTCACTTAATATATCTGTCGAGTACCCATAGACAAAAATACCGAAATGCCCATCCTTAATCAACACTGATGCACTTTTTTATTTTATTTTTTATTTTTACTTATTTAAATTTATTGCACTACTTTATTTAATTTCAGTGGATTTTTTTCAGTTATTTGAACTGAATTTTGTATTTAATTTGGTTTTGAATTCACTTTTCTTTAAGCTTGAAGACGATCCAAGATTTTTTTTTTTTTAAACGAGGGACTCATTTTTTGAGCTGTTAAAGTTGAAAACAGCTAACCAGTGTTGACCTGGAGTTTATGTGATGACGTCTGATTTGACTAACCCCCTCAGCTGAGAAGATGGCTGCAGGATGACCCCCTGAACATGCACTGATGAAGCTTGTTTGTTTCCTTCTCCAAACTTAAATGAAGGTTCCCAAGATGCTTTGTGGCGAAAGTATTGTGATCCACATTCTGCTGTTTTCAGTGCAGTGAAAAGCCCCGAAGATCTTGTGAAATGATCCACAGCAACACTGTGTTCATATTCTTAAAGAAGCTTTTTTTTACCAGCATCTTGCAGTGAATGAGCGCTATGGCCCTCCCCTTCTTAACTTTTCTTTCTTCCCTGACCCACGTTGTTGGGTGTTCTGTTGTCATGGAGACAGCCACATGGGTTTTGTTGTCGCTGTGTGTTTTGCAGGTGCAAACGCTGTACTATTCGGCCGATCACAAGCTGCTCGATGGGAGCCTGCTTGACGGGCAGGCTGAGGTGTTCGGCACTGAGGATGACCACATCCAGTTTGTGCAGGTACACAACCAGCGCTGAGCTCTTCTCAGGCTGGACCGCAGCAGACCCGTAGCGAATGCAGGATTTAAGTGTAATGCTAGCAGAGCAGCTGCTTTGTTGTGCTGGGCTGTTGAGTCTGAGCGTTTTAAGGCTGAAGAGATCACGGTGTGTCCGTGATGAGTGTGTGGATTGGGTTTTAGTGCTGCTTATAGTGTGGCTTTACATTGGGATTAGATTAATGTAGATATAAGGTCAAAGAAATATTCCAAGGTTCAGTACAAGCTCAAATCAAAAGCATTTGTGGCGTGATGTTGATTATCACAAAAACTAATTTCCCCAAGAGAAGCGAAAATGGAGGTGAATGAGGCCAATTTGTAAATTTTTAAATAATCTTTAAACATTCTATTCTATATACTAATCTTCTTCGAGTTATATCCAACTCTGTTGCCATGACAAAGTAATGGCTAAAATGTCTGTAAAAATGAAGATTTAAACCGCCTTACAGCTCAAATAATACATGGTGTAACCGAAGAATCAATGTATGTCTAAAAGTGATAAGCTTCATATTTCCCCCCCTTCACTACAATTGTTAGTACCTTACCAAAACCTAATGGTTTGCTTTTTAAAAGAAAATGAGGCATGAGTCAAAATGATTTTTGTGGTAATCAACATTATGCCGCAAATGCTGTCGACTATGCTTAACTTTCAAAGAACCAGGATTATTCCTTTAACCTGATGTAGCCTGCATCTGATAAGTTGAGTCGGGTTTACGCCTAGACGGGTCTGGGACTGTGTGAGGTTGTATTTGTGTGGACCATGGGCTCGGAGTCTGTAGCTGCACTGTGCCTTTGCAGAAGAAGCCCCTACGTGAGAATGTACACCGACAGCTGAGCACCAGCTCCTCTGGCAGCCTCTCCCCCGGATCTGCAAAACTTTCCTGCAAGCAAGAGTGGAAATACATAGCTTCTGAGAAGACCACCAGTAAGTTTGCACCTTTGATGTGTTCATCAGATCGTTGAGACTTCTCTGCGGTCCCTTTAAGTTATCTTTTCCTCTCCCCACAGACAATACATACCTGTGTCTGGCTGTGTTGAACGGCATGCTGTGCGTGATATTTCTGCATGGGCGCAGCAGTCCCCAGGCCTCGCCCTCGTCCACACCTTGCCTAACCAAGAGTCTGAGTTTCGAGGGCCAGCCACTGGAAGAGGAACCTGAAAAGCTGATGGCACCCATGCGATATGCTCGCTCTGGCCTGGGCATCGCTGCTTTGAGCGACCAACTCATCGCCGCAGGTTAGTGGACCACAAAAAGAAACTTCTGAATGTCTCTCTTGACTTCGTTAAGCAACTCTGATCTGTTATTCAGGAGGCTACAATCGGGAAGAGTGCTTGAGGACTGTGGAATGTTACGACATGAAGACTGACAGCTGGACTTTCATTGCTCCAATGAGGACTCCACGTGCTCGGTTTCAGATGGCCGTGCTCATGGTGTGTGCATGGTCAAATGTGTATTAAGAAGTAGTGTTTGAAAGTGCTGTGAAATAACTTGTTTTTATCCAATCAGGGTCAGCTTTACGTGATGGGTGGGTCCAACGGCCATTCTGATGAACTGAGTTGTGGGGAGACGTACAACCCCAGTGCTGATGAGTGGACTCAAGTGCCAGAGCTCAGGACCAATCGGTGCAATGCAGGTAAAAACTTCACTTGTAGCATTTAAAATGTTTTTCATTTATTTAGATAAAACACTATAGCTTATTTGCCATAACATAAAACCAAAAAATTATCTGTTGGTTTTAGCCAGATTCTGTGCATCCGATTTTTACGATTTTCCCGATTCAAAGAGATTTTGAATTTGTCCATTCAACACAGAGAATACAGTAGGTTTAGATTCATCAATTATTGTTTTCTTTCTTCAGGTGTCTGCTCTCTAAACAACAAGCTGTATGTTGTTGGGGGATCAGATCCTTGCGGACAGAAAGGTCTGAAGAACTGTGATGTTTTTGACCCTGTGAGCAAGGCCTGGACCAGCTGTGCCCCTTTAAACATCAGTAAGTCATGTTGACGTCAAAAATATCCCTATAATTGCTTCCACAGGGGTTTCTGGCACTTAAGAGATCACAGCTTAAGCGTACAGCAGGGATTACACTGATAAAAAGCCAGATGGATCTGCAGAAATGGTTCTCAATGTTATTTTCGTGCATCTACAGGGAGGCATCAGGCTGCCGTGTGTGAGTTGGATGGCTTCATGTACGTGATCGGAGGAGCTGAATCATGGAACTGTCTGAACAGTGTGGAACGCTACAACCCAGAATATAACACTTGGACCCTTATTGCCCCAATGAACATAGCCCGCAGAGGAGCAGGAGTGGCTGTCTATGAAGGTAAGCAAAGGACAAATTGCCAGTATATGACCATTAAGCTTGCATATGGTGACTGATTTTTATTTTTTGTTGTTGTCTCTCTCAGGTAAACTCTTCGTGGTGGGCGGCTTCGATGGCTCTCACGCTCTGCGTTGTGTTGAAATGTATGACCCTTCCCGCAACGAATGGAGGATGCTGGGGAGCATGAACTCGCCACGCAGCAATGCTGGTGCTGCCGTGCTCAATGATGTCATCTATGCCGTTGGCGGCTTCGATGGAAACGACTTCCTTAACTCAGTTGAGGCCTACAACCCTAAAACAGACGAGTGGAGCCCCTGTGCCGATGCCTTCACCAATTCCTAAGAGCCAGGGGCCGGGGAACCAAATGGGGACGGGGGGTTATCTCACTCAAACTAACAGGCTTAGTGATGTAATCGTGCTTTGTGATGTCCTGTATGTATGCGGGAGGGTGGGCGGGTGGGTTTTTGAGGTGTGAGGGTGGTCTCGTTGGGTGCTTCACAGGAGCCACCCATGAGGCGGATTTTTCTTACAGTGTTTGGGTGGGGGAGGTCCGTTGGGGGTTGCTGAAAGCAACATTAAGCCTTTGCATATTGCATACTTTATTTTTTGTTGTTGTAAATATTGTTGTTTCTTTTTTTCTTTTTTTTTCTTTTTAAGAAGAATGCCAACATTTATTGCACACTGAGTGTACCTTTTTGATTTGAGTAGTTTTGAATTTCTCAATAATTTTTAGCGAGTTGAAGACAGGATTGATTGGTTGAACACATTCAGGAAGTTTTTTGTTGTTGTTTTTTGCTCACTTCATTTGAAGCTCCATGCTTATACAAAGCCTTATTTTACAAAACATTCAAACACATGGCTTTCCTTTTTGTATCATTAGCCATGACGTAGGATTACTGTACCAATCTTTAAAGATTGCCTTTTTTATATTTTTGATACACTGCAACGTAACCAATAGATTGATGGATGAGCTAGCAGGCACAAAACACCCATGAGGTTATGAACTAACCAGTGCCAGTTTAGTTACACTCACATGCGTATAGTCAACCACGCTTCAGTGCTCTTGCTCAGTAGATCTTTTGTTACCATTTCTTTTGTTTGACTGATTCAAACAAGTGAGACGATGCTCATTTCCTTCTTGATATCGTCTCTTTTAAATATTTTCTGTTTAGCAATTGGAAGCAACAAAAGAGTTTTTTGGTCAATTTTTGGTCAATTTTTTCCTCAATTATTTGGCGAATAAAATTCTGTACTACATTTGTTATGAGCTGATATTTCCTTACTAATAAAACCATTTCAGCCTGTGAAATTATTTTGGTTTGTGTCTCTAGAAACAATATTGAAAAGGTCTCATTTACTTGGATTGTGCATTGAGGATGTTTTGTACATTTTATCTCAAGAACTGAATTTTGGTTTTACTTTATTGTGTTACATGATTCTGGTAGGATTACACTAGTGTTTAGTTTATAAGTGGGTTTAGGATCAGATGAAGGGAAACAAGGCAAAAGAAAACTGGATAATTTATTATCAGACCATTTATTTCTCCTCTTATCCAACAATCCAACTTCCACACTCCATTCACAAATACTAACCTGTTTTAATCCTAAGCAAATCACATTAGTCGTGCTGGCAGGAAGTAGGCCAAAATCACAAGGTCTACAGGAGGGATTATAGGTATTTTCTGGCACTTTATACTCGGGTCAGTCACGAAGTCACTGCAATTACCCTCTGGTACTTGTCTGTGGTTTCTACTGAGATAAGGAGGATTGAAAAAGCGAGGAACTCCGGAGTGTCTCAATAATTGAGACGTTAAATATTTACCAAAAGAACTACACACAATGGGTCTCATTCATGAAACACGAGCAGAACGAATTTTTGTGTAAATCGTGTGTAAAGTGGTTCTGGCGTAAATTTTCGGATTCATTAAAATGTTCGTATTTTACAAATGTTAGTTGGTACACAAGAAATCTACACCTGCTCCCAGCCACGCGTAAATAGTGCGCTTAACACCCGAACGTTTTGCTCATTAATAAGGCTGCATTTTAATTCACCTTAATCGGGTACATATTTGCACAGCATTTTGAAAAAATATTATATATAGTAATTACATACGGTTTTTCTTATTATGAGAGCTAGTAATAGCATCTGCGATGGTGGTCCTTCTCCAGTTTGAATACTATTTTTCCGAAGTGAACTAATTCGTTTTTTTGCTCTCAAGCTTAACGTCGAACCATTTTCTTCTCACTTCTGGGAATGTTCGATTTCGATTAACAGATGAAACTCCATTTTACTGCATCTAATATGCTGCCAAGCTTCCTTTTTTTTTAGGACCCGATACGCCACTATGTACGCTTAAAAATAAAATGTGGCGTTTTGAATGAACTTCTGATAATAAAACTTCAATTTCTGCATCTGAGAATTTTTTTTTTCATTCGCATTCATGTCATAATATGATGCCCATATATAGTTGTCAGTCGGATTTAATGGGCGGGATTTATGGTAATTGAGAATGAACGTGCACGCGCATCCCATTTACGACTGATTGGAATTCATTAACACACACACACATTTCACTATCACATATGACGTTTACGAAGTATTTGTGAATCAGGAGAAGAGTTTTCGGGAAGGTCTCTTTACGCGCAAATCACTCACATATTTACTCGTATATTTACGAATGTTTCATGAATGAGACCCTATGAGTTTTTTGCATTACTGACTGCACTGCTTTTCTCTTATTTTCGCATGCACTGACTAGACAGTAGGCCTCGTGTCTTGCACATGACAAGGCGTTCTAAAAACGCGGTGGTAAGGTTAAACAAATTGTATCTTTTAAAAATGCATCTCTAGACCTTGCGGTTTTTTTTTTCTGTGTCTCGCGTTTTTAAAACCGCGTTATATGTGAACGCCCCCTAATTTGGCGTTCAAACAGCAGCATAATAGGGTTGTCATCCCTGTATTTGAGTCCTATATACAATTACGTTCACACACCGTTCGGTTGTATTGGAGAGACGCACGCATTCTATAACCGAACTCACACTCGTAGATTTTTAGGAAGCACAACTGTAATTTTGGCAGATCTGTGCTGTGTGAACGGAACTGTACAGGACAATTTGGTAGTCTGCAAGCATTTTCAGCAGGATTAGGACTATAATCTTTTGCTAACACTTTACTACAAGCCTTTATATATAATGCGTTATAAAATGTTTTTTTCATGCATTAATTATGCCTTGTAATGCACCTTATAATGCATTGTATATGGTCTCATGACTAACTGTAACCACAGTTATAAGAAATTATAATACTTATGTTACTCCTTTAGAACGTATAATGCATTAAAACACATGACAAACAAACCAATTTCAGATGTATCTGCAAAGATTATTATAACCTACATTATGAATATCTTTATAATGCATTATGCATAAAGGCTTTAAGTAAAGTTTTACCAATCTTTTTTCTTGCCCATATTGTAATTGTCTTTTGAACTCAGTTACCTATGAACACACAGCCATTATCTTGCTTACGTCATTGAACGTTGGTGTAATCTCAAGAAGGATATTATTATCACTGTTCCCATAATCCTCAAACTGTGATGTCACCGTTCTGCCTTACAAACCAGAAACCCATATCTATATGTGACAAAAAAGGATGACACATCACTGATGATCAAATTCTTTAATCAAAATGCAAATATATGTAAAGGAAAATATTCTTTTTGAACTATTCACAATATAATACAAATAGTACAATATCAAAACTTACACCAAATAAAACCAGAGTATATTTATAATAAAAAAAATCTGTCATAAATTAGACTACTGAGGTTCATGTTGGTGCTGGTATTGCATGTGCAGAACTAAAGATTTATAATGAGAATAAAAAAATATAGCATCTTATCAGACCTAAACAGTCTAAGTATCGAAAATTCACAGATTTTGTAACAAAATGTACCTTCTTAGAATCATGGAACAAATGAGTGGATTTCAGAATAGTTTCCAGAAGGGTGTCTAGACTGATGCCCAAGAAATTTGGCTTTCATGACATGGTTCGATGTTGCACTCACTAATTACTGAGAGCCTCGGAGCAATGAATGTCATGTCCGACAGTGTTATGAAGTAATACCTCCGTTTCTCTCGGAACACATAATAACCTGTTACCACAACAGCTTGTGGACGTTAGAAAGACTTTTAAAGTGGCACATCAGAATTTGAACATATGGCAATTCTACCTTCTATGCGGTATAAAACACCAAAAACCCCAACAGACCTATACAAAAAAATGAATCATCACTAAAAGAGTTTATTTTTCCCAGAAGGGAACACATTATCTATAAAGTAAGGTAAAATAATCAATAAATAATCCAAATAGTTTAATACAATTAAAATATATTAAAGCTTATAAATAAAACATGAACTAGAACATGGTGTAAACTGATGAATTCTTGTCTATATAGACTGTTAACCCTTGATGCCAAGTTACTTTTGCATAACATGTCAGGGTCACGTGACTGATGCACTGACTGCTACAGGATGTTACAAGGACAGAGAATCAGTAGGCTGGTACAGCTTTGGTTCCAGACGATTATGACTCCGCTACCAAAAGCCAGGTCGGTCCAAAGGAGTCCGAACCAATAGCAAGTAGACAGTTGGCTGGGTCCAAACATGGAAAGTGGGGTGTTAAATCAGGGCCAAGAGCTCAGAGCAGCACCACAGTGATCTAGATTTGCATACAGCTCAGACAGCTGCGCACCACCCACACACAGCTTCTCCCTGAGGACAAACAGACACGCATAAGTCTTCTCATTCTTCTTTGTACATTTTTGTATGATATATATTTTGTTTTGGAAAAAATGCAGGTTTGGAGCAACATGACTGGGAGTATTTAATATATATATATATATACATAACTTTTGTGTTCACTTAAATAATAGCATTTGGAATGACATGAAGGTGAGTAAGTGATGACAGTTTATTTTTTTTTATTTTTTTTTATTAAAAAAAACTGTTTACTATTCCTCTAAGGATAACATTGGAAAGTTTTCTTCATTGTTCTCTTTTTGATAGAATGGTAAGCAGAGCAAGCGATAAAGATTTGGTCAGCATAAACAGTTGTGAAGTGTCCCTGACTGTCCCTGCTGTTTCACTTCACACAGGATAACTTCCACTACATTGCCTAACGTTCCAAACAGGAAGTGGATGTCTCGTATGCAGGAAGTGAAAGAGGTCAAGAGAAGGAGGCTGAAAAAATTACTCTGCATTATACAACATTATAGAATAAAAAAGGCAATTCATGACCTCTTTAACACAAGGCAATCTCAGCGTGCCACGAACTTCAAATATCTACACGAAATGCTTGTCTATGACTAAAACAAAGTTATTCTCAATGTTTAATACTAGCGTGGTTCATGGGAAAGGAAAAGGATTTAAACAATTGCAGAAATCTCTGAGTCAGTCATGCCCCGCCCGCTCTCTTTCCCTGGTATTGTGGTTCATGACTGACTTCTCATCTCTCTCATTCTCTATCTCCTCCCTCTCTTTCTTGCTACCTGTTGCTGCTTGTTGCCTTAGTTTGTTTGCATCTTGTGTTCCCCAATGGATGTTACATAACAAAATACCAAAAAAAAGGAAAGAAAGAAAAAAACGAAGGATTGCATGCACTTGTTCATTCCCAGTGCACACCCTTACCGAGCTGGTTTAGGTAAAGAAGGGTATGGTGGAAATGAAGAGGAGGGGCCAGTTGCATAAACTGTTGTATAAAAGTTGCATAGCCATTATGTTAAGACAGTGTCTTAAGATCCAGTATGACCCACTAGCAGTTGATCAAGGGATAGTTAGTCTTACTTTTCGGTATCAAATTAGGTAAATGTACGTTTTTAATATGTAACTGACAAAAAATAAATGAATAGTCGATGACTAACTTGTAAGACTAGTCTAAGCGGTTTATGTAATCGCCCCCTGGTCTTGGAACTTGGAATGTTGTCTTTGCTCATTTTTTCATAAATTACAGTTCTGACAATGCAGTTAGGGCCAAGGTTATATATTATATATATAAAATCTAGGTTATATATCCACCTTTTTCCTTACAAGCCTACTGGGTTTTAGATTATGGGAGGCACTTCCGGTTTGGGGAAGCTCCACTCAAAAAGATTTCAAATCATAAGGTTGCGCTACAAATAATCCTTATCCATCAGTTTGACTGAATGAGCTGTAAAATATCCTTCATGTTCAGACTTCAAGAGAATAACACAACGCTTGGTATTTCAATGTAACGTGGCATAACAAGAATATCTATGATGAGCTCTTTTCAGTCGCTGCATTCTTTTCCTCCTGACTCTTTTCTTTTTGGCTGTAACAGTATGAAAAAGGACATAAACTCTGCTCATTTGTGGTCTGCTCTCCTGATTTATTTACAATATATATCACATAAATAATTTACTGGAATGCACAAAGAATCTCTCGTTTTTCTCCCCAAATCCTTGTGTCTCTTTCCGGGCTTGTTTTTTTCACACAGATGCTTTAAAATAAATGTCTCTCATTTTCACTTCTAATCCCTATTAGCAGTGTTTACTGGAATGTTTCTAAAGCAGGTAAATGTAATATTATTGTCTGTCAAAATGACGAAAATCACTTTGAAATATTATCACTCAATGTTCCAGTTTATTAACTTTTTTGATTAAGGCCATGTGTAAGGCATAATAGAGACATATTACAGTGATATTTAACAAGTCCACAATATTGCTGAAGAAATAATAGGGGGTTATTCATGGTCTGTGTTAATAATTTGTTAATGCTTTTAGACTTTTAAATAGCCTTTTAAATGTTCAATGGTTAAAGAATGAGTAGAATAATGTCACTTCATTCACAGTTTTTGAAAATGCTTATTATTGCGTTCATAGATTGAGCTATTCGCTGATTGTTTACAGTTTAACAGAAGTTATTCACATAATTCGCGCAAAGCGTCATGGGGCGTAGGAAAAAGGTGGATACACTCACCGGCCACTTTATTAGGTATACCTGTTCAACTGCTTTGTTAACGCAAATATCTTATCAGCCAATCACATGGCAGCAACTCAATGGCATGTAGACATGGTCAAGACGATCTGCTAAAGTTCAAACTGAGCATCAGAATGGGGGAGAAAGATGATTTAAGTGACTTTGAACGTGGCATTGTTGTTGGTGCAGAAGGGCTGGTCTGAGTATTTCAGAAACTGCTGATCTTTTCAAGCACAGCCATTTATAGGGTTTACAGAGAATGGTCTGAAAAAGAGGAAATATCAAGTGAGCGGCAGTTCTTTGGGCAAAAATGCCTTGTTGATGCCAGAGGTCAGAGGAGAATGGCAAGACTGGTTCGAGCTGATAGAAAGGCAACAGTAACTCAAATAACCACTCGTTACAACGAGTTATGCAGAAGAGCATCTCTGAACGTACAACACGTTGAACATTGAAGCAGATGGACTACAGCAGCAGAAGAACACACCAGTGCCACTCCTGTCAGAACAACACGAAACTGAGGCTACAATTCCCATTGGCTTACCAAAATTGGACAATAAAAGACCGGAATAACATTTCCTGGTCTGATGAGTCTCGATTTCTGCTGTGACATTCAGATCGTAGGGTCAGAATTTGGTGTAAGCAACATGAAAGCATGGATCTGTCCTGCATTCTAACAATGGTTCAGGTGGTGTGATGGTGTGAGGGATATTTTCTTGGCAAAATTTGGGCCCCTTATTACCAATTGAGCAACGTTTAAATGCCACGAGTTAAATGAGTATTGTTGCTGACCGTCTCCATCCCTTTATGAACACAGTGTACACATCTTCTGATGGCTACTTCCAGCAGGATAACACGCCATGTCACAACGCTCAAATCATCTCAAACTGGTTTCTCGAACAATGAGTTCACTAAACTCACATGGCCTTCACAGTCACGAGATCTCAATCCAATAGAGCACATTTGGGATGTGGGATGGGATTTAGATTATGGATGTGCAGCCGACAAATCTGCAGCAACTGCTTGATGCTATCATTTCAATATGGACCAAAATCTCTGAGGAATGTTTTCAGCACCTTGTTGAATCTATGCCATGAAGAATTAGCTAAGGCAGTTCTGAAGGCAAAATGGGGCCCAATCTGGTACTAGCAAGGTGTACCTAATAAATATATACTTATATATTAAGCTTATTCATACATTGTGATTTTATAATGGTTTTTCTATTTTAATATATTTTAAAATATAATTTATTCCTGTGATGCAAAGCTGAATTTTCAGCAGCCATTACTCCAGTCTTCAGTGTCACATGATCCTTCAGAAATCATTCTAATATGCTAATTGTTTAGGATATAACCTTGCTTTCTCAAACGATTTTTATAAATCTTCTCCCCCAAAAATATATTATAAAAAATATATATCATGCACTACAAAGTGTTGGCTCAGTTGCCGTTTGTAGTGAACACATAAAAGACTCCATTGCTCCAGCCTTGCAATTATACGCTTCACAACAGTGCTGCCATGGCAACCGTACAACATGTGGGCAGCTCCCCTCCACCAGACAGCAGAGTGAATGCTTTATGAAGCCAATCCTTAAATCAGCAAAACAGAACATAACACCACAGTGATGGTGCTCGCTCGAAAACAAGCATGCAACACTGAACATCTGACAAAAGCTGCAGCAGCGTCACAGCCGTTGTGAGTTGACAGCGTCAGTGCACCGCCTGGTTGCTTAGATATCAATCCCTGCTGAGAGATTCAGCACCTAGAGACAAGATGTTCATGAACAAATTTAATGAATAACAGTCTTTCTTGTTTCACAAAACATACGGTTGCTTTCCATTTCAGATTATTAAAGGGTAAGTTCACCCACAAATTTAAATTCTGTCATTCTTTACTCACCCTCATGTCGTTCCAAACCCGTAAGACTTTCGTTCGTCTTCGAAACACAAATGAAGATCTTTTTGAGGAAATCTAAGCAATTTCTGTCCCTCCATTGACAGCTACGCAACTACCACTTATTTGATGCTTCAAAAAGTTCATAAAGATATCGTAAAACTGATCCATATGAAATGAGCGGTTTAGTCCAAATTTTCTGAAGAGACACGATCATTTTATATGATGAACAGATTGTGGAAGCTCAAACGTGCTGCATAACACACGAGAATGACACTCATTGGTTCTCAACTTTCAAGCTCGCATGAGCTTTAGTTTACCACAACTGATGTGCGAGTTGATAAATGTTTATATGTGAATAAAAACCTAAATTGAATCTGTTCATCCATGTCTCTTTAAAAAAATTTTTTGGATTAAACCTTCCAATTCATATGGATTAGTTTTACGATCTCTTTATGAACTTTTTGAAGTGTCAAAGTGACAGTTGCGTAGCTGCCAATAGAGGGACAGAAAGCTCTCAGATTGCATCAAAAAGATCTTCATTTGTGTTCTGAAGATGAACGACAGTCTTACAGGTTTGGAACAACATGAGGGTGAGTAATTAATCAGGTAACACTTTAGTTTAGGGTCCAATTCTCACGATCAACTAGTTGCTTATAAGCATATTACTAGGATATTGGCTGTTTATTAGTACTTATAAAGCACATATTAATGCCTTATTCTGCATGCCCATATTCTACATCCATTAATGCTACAAATTACCTTAATTTAACAATACCTTACTAACTATTTTTAAGAAGTAATTAGGAGTTTATAAAGGCAAAAGTGGCATTTAATAGTTAGTTAATAGTGAGAGTTGGACCCTAATCTAAAGTGTGACCATAAATGAAATAATTTTTGGGTGAACAATCCCTTTAAGGGATGATTTTAGGGAATCTTTAGCCTACAAATCAATATCTCATGGAATGACAGCCCAACTGAAATCTTTCTAAAATGTTCAAGGTAGCCGAAGCAAAGCCTGATACAGCAACTTACTGAGACCAGTGTGTTATGTAACAGGTCACATTGAAGCAACTGATGGGTGTTATTCAGTTTGGGTACATGATCAGATTATTGTCTCTGTGCATTAGCATATAGTACCTGACAGTACTGATTAAAGCATGCATTTGACACACGTGGATAAGTGCGTGAAATGAGGTCACTGAAGTCTTGGGTGTCACGGCTCATTGACCTCACTGAGGTAAGTGAGCTAAAGATCAGCTGTCAACCGCTCCACAAATGTGTGTGCGAGCGTGTAGCTACACTTGACTGATAAGGTTAATCAATGAATGTTTTCTCCAGCCCTGAAGACACATCCTAACAAAGCCTTGACAACCACACGAAAACTTTGCAAATGGCAATCCTGCTCAATTAATCATTACAAATGAGAGACACATTAAGAAACCTGAAATGACAGTGAACATGACACATGATGAAATTCATGCATACATTTTTTTTTACATGCAAATATGGCCCAATAAAAAAAAAAAAGTTATACTATGTGAATATTAATCAAATGAATTACAGTGAAAAATAATAAGTAAGTAAGACTTTGCTCTGGAGCATCCAGTTAAATAACTTATTCATAAGCCGTTCTTTCACCATAGTAGGACTAGTAGTTAGTGAGTTGATTAGTACACACCCCAATAGGTTCTAGCAAATAATGTAGGCCTACTGTGTTATAAAAATAAAATTATTATTTTATTAAATTATATTATATTGCAATATCAAGTGTTATTTGATCCCTCTCCCACACTATCCTGGGAACAATTTATTCAAAAGAATTTGGCTGTATAGTCAAGAATTTTATGGTTATCAAGAAACTATATCATCAAATAGCCTAAGGTCTTAAGCTCCACCCCTTTTAGAGTCTCTCCTTCAGTAACACAACATCCAACTGTAAATCTACATTTTTAAAAGCACAACCACATCAGAGTCTTTATATATTGAATAATACTCATTAATTTGTAGCATTATATTCAGCACTCCTCATTAGCCTGGGGCTTAATCAAAATCAGCACATGGGCAGTGTGAAAATCTTTGAGACAAGATAAAATATGCATACGTTCTAGTTTCCAGTTAGGACAAGTTCCACAAACACCTTTGTACACCCCTGGGAATAAATTGCGAAATATCTTTACCAGGAATGTGTATTCTGGCAAACGACTCAGGGGGAAGCGGTGATGTATCATTAAATGCATTCTATGTATCATTATTGCCTTCCTCAGTGGAAAAGTGTGATTTAGAGTGCACAAGAGGACAGTTGATAGCATAACCTGTTATTACACAGGTGCCACATTAGTGAGAGTTATTGCACAGATTGCAACGCAATATGAGCGATCTAGAATCTATCCAACATAAGGATCTAAACTCAATACACATACATACACAAGATCGCACAGGACTTTTCCGGTTTGCCTGACATTAACATGCAATGAAAGAGATTATGTGAGTTTAGTTAGTACAGAAGCTTGACTAAAATGCACTTGAGGTGTGACATTGGTGGTGAGATTAAAATGTAAAAGCTTATTCATAAGCAACAGCTTATAAATGCTGATATTTTATGTTTCTGGACTATAGCTCCCTGTATGATTTGATTAGCTGAAAGATCATTTCTTTATATGAAATTACAATTTTAACTGTGGACATATGGCAGAATTAATTATAATACAATCAATTCAAAATTAAATTGAGATTTTGAATCAAAATCTACTATGGAATACTGTATACATTTATATCCAGATACTTCCATTCAAAATACCCTACATTTCAAAAGTTCAGGGTCGGTAAATATTTTCAAGTCTCTTATGCTCATCAAGGCTGCATTTATTTGATCAAAAATACAGTAAAACAAATTACAATTTAGAATAACTGTTTTCTGTTTTAAGATATTTTTAACGTAATTTATTCCTGTGATGACAAATTTGAATTTTCAGCATCATTACTCGAGTCTTCAGTGTCACATGATCCTTCAGAAATCATTATGATATGCTGATTTGGTGCTCAAGAAACATTTCTTATTATTATCAGTTGAAAACAGTTGAATATGCTGAAGATTTTTGAAACTATGGAAAAGTCATTGCTGTTATTTTTGATCAATTTAATGCTTCCTTGCTGAATAAAAGTATTAATTGAACTTTTTTTAAATAAACTTACTGGCCCCAAACTTTTGAACAGATCACCAAATACAATTCTAATGCAGCATATAAACAATGAACAAAGGATTCACTTTGCCATTTAACCATGGCAGGGATGATGTCGAGGATTCTCAGAACTGTCTTCTGAGGTTTGGGTAGGCTTATGATGCAATAACACCCTTAAGGCAGAAACTCAATGGCCCTACGAGACAGTAGATAGCTGCTGAGGCCTGCCGAAGCGAGCGCTGACCTGAGAACAGCATGCTGAGCTCCGGCTGAAATGCCTGAAGGTGGGCGGTGTTAAAACCATTACAACAGAACAAACCGCATCATGAACGTAGCTTGGTAAAGCAATACAAGCTGTGAGTATGACTTGAAGATAAGCTAATGAGTCTCACTATCTCTCATAACTCTTAACTAACCGGTATTCCTGTTGAGACACACAATCAAACAGGTCCATGGCAGTGAAACGTGGCTCCATAGCAGCAATCTGAAAGCAGAAAGCACATCTGTTAATGTAAAGTACACAGTGTTCAGCTCAACACACACGTCCTGCAGAATCACTGTAGGACATGTATTGCTGCACGTATTGTTGATCTTAGACCTCTTGGTGGTTATTTGATCTGACCTAAACAAGATAAATGGTAATTCTTCATGTCTAAAACGAAATATATATACACTACAGTTCATAACTTTAGAGTATGTAAGATTTCAATACTTTTGGTATCACTTTACAATAAGGTTTAATTTGTTAACATTAGATAACTACATTAGTTAACATGAACTAACATTGAAAAATACTTTATTAATCATAGTTAAAGTTTATTTTAACATTAAGAAATACGTTATTAAAATCATTATAAAAAAGGTTATATCTGTTAATATTCTGACCTGAGCTAACATGAACTAACAATGAACAGTTGTGTTTTTATTAACTATTGTTCACAAAGATGAATAAATACTGTAACAAATTTATTGCTCATTGTTAGTCAATGCATTTAATACAAATTAGAATGATTTCTGAAGGATCATGTGACACTGAAGACTGGTGTAATGGCTGCTGAAAATTCAGCTTAATAATGACAGAATTTTTATACTAACTATTGTTTAATATGGGGCATGACTAGTCAAAAAGGTGGATATGACCTTTAGTGGCCGTTTTGTTCTTACCTTACTGGACTGAATGAAGGAGAGAAGTGACTGTGCATCCTGAACACTGCTGTCCGCAGATAACAGTCTGTGGGAGGGGAAAACTTTCATTTTTCTATCACATTATAACAGGTATGACATCCCACCTGTGCAATTACTAGAACATCAGCTGTGTATAATATCTGTGGGTATTGCCTGATATGCAATTAAGAATTCTGTGTGTGATTTTAAAATGCATTAGTCAACCAGAGCACTCTTCTACATTTAATATTAACCACAAGTAAAGAGACAGCTTAAGATTACAATGAATAAATGTATCAGATGAATCATTAAATCTATCAGACAATCATATGCAGGGTAGTGTTTCCTAGTGTTTACTGAGCCTGTAATTGTGTTTGGATCACAAAAATTGTAAATTAGTAATCACCACATTTCCTCATTAACATCTGTGTGATGTTAGAAAAGAAGGAAATTTGTACAGACACAAAAGTTCTAAATTTAGACAGAGTGTCTGATAGAATTGATTGACATGTTTGATCATGGCAGAAACATGTCCAAGACTAAAGCCTGTTTCACACATCCTGTGTCCGCAGCACATAAGCGTCAAGGACACAGGATAACTGCAACAGCAGAAAACGTTTCTGGTACACATAATATAGCTACATAACAAAGCTGTGCTACATGTGCACAACCCTTCAAAAGTTTAGGCACGGTAAGATTTTTTTAATGTTTTGAAGTTTCTTATGCTCACCAAGGCTGCATTTATTTGATCAAACATACAGTAAAAACAGTAATATTGTAAAATATTATTACAATTAAAAATAACTGTCTATTTTAATATATTTCAAAATGTAATCTATTTCAGAAATGGCAAAGCTGAATTTTCAGCATCATTACTCTAGTCTTCAGTGTCACATGATCCTTCAGAAATCATTCTAATATGCTGATTTGGTGCTCAAGTATGGGAAAAAATTACTATGGAAGTAAATGGGGTCCCATCAACTGTTTGGTTACCAACATTCTTCAAAATATCTTCTTTTGTGTTTAGCAGAACACACAGCAACTTGAGGGTGAGAAAAGGATGACTTATTTTCATTTTTGGGTGAACGCAAGGATAAAACAGCATAGCCTCTAAAGGGAGGTAGAGGGGAGGAGGAGGAAAAGAGGAAATGTAGAGTAATTCAAGGGGCAAGACGAAGTAGGGAGCAGAAAGAAAAAGCTATTTCAGCAAGAAAGCCTGAATTATGCATGCTTTTCGTTTCAGGGGCGCAGGGGGATGGAAAGGAGTAGAGCAGCGCATTTGTGTGCATGTGTTAGCTCTGATGACTCATCTGTCTGCTTTCTGCACATAAAATGAGTCTAGCTGTATCCATGGAGACAGCACCTAATCTCCCTTCAAACCTTGTCATCCTGCCTTCTCAGAAACAATCAATGGAGAACCAGAATGAACTCAAATGCACAATAATAAAATTCAGTAAAAACTGTCAAAACAAACCCAAAGGGAACCTGAATCTCAGATAAACACTATGACATTGAGTACACACCGTCAGTCAGTGGGGTCATCAGCTTGAGTGAACAAGGGTGAATAAAGTATATAGGGTTGATGGGTAAAGGGTGACATTACTGTCAGACAGATGACTAATAGAGTGGAAAGGCACATGGCTATATCTGATCATGTAACTGGGAAGGAGAACACTTAAAAAGTTAAAGTGCAGTTTAGGCAGGACATTGACCCAGGCATTATTAAATAACTCACAATTAAGTTTGGAATTTCTTTTCTTTCGCATCTTCCTCCAAACGCAAACTATATAATAATACTCTGTCATAATTAAAGTCAATGTCTTGAATAAAATGAACAAGTTGGAGTGTAAATCAATTGTAATGCATTGATGCAAAATCGTGGTGTTTTGTGTGAGAATAAAGGAGCATATAATCAATTAGACTGACAATGCAGCACAAGTTTCACATGACAAATCATTAATTTGCAGTGCTGAATGAAGTGTATGCTTCAACTCCTCTCTTTGTTGAACAAAAATCTCACAGAACAGCATTTATAGCACTGAGACAAAATAATTTATAGTGTAAAAGTAATAATTCACTTCATTTGACAACTAGAACTGAGCTTTCTGACAACCCAAAAATAAGATCTTCATGCATGCCACATTCCCAGAGTTTAGATTTATTAGATACCGTATTATTTATTCGAGATTTATAGTCATTAAGAGGCCGTGAATGATATGAGCAGGGAGTTTAATATGCCAGCGAGGCAAGTCATGTGTGCTATTACACTCCAACATAAAGAGCTGTCTCTGTGTAACGGCTATGACACGCACCAGTCTCTGCTCGCGAGATGCAGAGATGTTAATTTGCGGCCTGGCGCCAGTGTCACACAGACACTCACACAGGATCAGGGGAGGGTTTGATTAGAGTACATACTGACAATTATGAGAATAATGACTGGAATGGTAATAGACCCTGGTAAGACTGCACAGTTCTGTGTGTGTGTGTGTGTGTGTGTGTGTGTGTGTGTGTGTGTGTGTGTGTGTGTGTGTGTGTGTGTGTGTGTGTGTGTGTGTGTGTGTGTGTGTGTTTGTGTGTGTGTGTGTGTGTGTGTGTGTGTGTGTGTGTGTGTGTGTGTGTGTGTGTTTACTAGCATGTGTACCTCTGAAGAGCCTCCAGTAGCTGTTTCAGTGCAGTAGAGAGCCTTTGCAGGCAGGAGAGGGCGTCCTGAGGCAGGGGTGAGGTAGATCGCAGGCTGGGCTCAGTGGTTCCTGGAGTGTAGTGGAGTGCTGAGAACAAAGCCGAACTAAAGAGAGAGAAACAAACCACGCAGTAAAGTTTCTGTTTTGTTTTTTGTTGGTATAGCCACAGTAGACAGTGTAAAACCTGATCAGCATTTCTTTAAAAAGTTTAATATTTTAGCAGAGCATATTTATGAAACCTATACAAAACACACATTCACAGGAAATAGTTTTCTAATGGTTTTGAAAGAAGTCAAAAAAGGCTTGAATCAAAATTTGATTAAAAACAGTAATGTTTTGAAATATTACAATTTAAAACAAACAACCATTTATATATATATATATATATATAAAATTCTTTTTTTAAAGGTGCCCTATGTAAAAATTATCCAAAAAATGAGCTACACGCATCAAAAGAATGAGAAGAAATAAGTGCAATGATGTCATTAAAAAATTGACAAGTTATAGTGCTGCCGAGATATAAACCTAAATTAGCATGCTAAATTACTAGCGCCGGCCGACTGGTGTCGTAATACCAGTTTCGGCCATGGGAGGCGGTATGCGGGCAACATACATAACCACCAGCCAAACTGCAGTACACGAATAACTCGCACGGCTTGTGGGCGTACTTGAACCTGATGTCAATCGCGTCTATATGAGACCGGCATTTATAATTTAGTGTTGAGATGTTGTTCATTGAGTCTCTAATCTCTTAAAATATCCAAATGAACTGCGGCCTTACTATCGTGTCAATTGATTTGATTAATATGCACGAGGGAGAGAGAGAGCAGGAGGACAGCGCTCGTGTTGTTTGAAGACGTGAGAGTGCGCGCGCGCGGCCGGGGCGCTCTCTCTCTCTCTCTCTGCTCGTTATGCGCCCTGTCAAGCGCAGCAGTCATTCTATTCTACATCACTCACCGATCAAAATAGGCTTTGGCGGGACAAAGCGGACGATTTGACGGTTTTTAGAAGATTAACAAACCGAAACTAAAAAACAGACTAGAGTAGGCCAACTTTCTGGAGGTATACTGCCCCCATCTGGTATGGAATATGCGGAATATGAATTTTATTTTTTGGCAGACATTCCACATGGCACCTTTAAAGTGTAATTTATACCTGTAATGGCAAATTTGAATTTTTAGACTCCAGTCTTCAGTGTCACAGGATCCTTCAGAAATCATTCTAATATGCTGATTTGGTGCTCAAGTACTATTTTTCTAATTATCAATGCTGAAAACAGTTTTATATTACTTTACATTTGTGTTGATTTTTTTAAGACAGTTCAAAAGATCAGCATTTATTTCAAATTGAAATATTTTGAAACATTATTGATGTCTTTACTGTCAATTTCGATCAATTTAATGCATCCATGCTGAATAAAACTTTTCATGTCTTTCAAAATAAAAAGAACCCCGAACTTTTGAATGGTAGTGTATGTTGAGAAATAAATACAAGTCTCTCTTTGTCATGGTCTCTCTCACCTTATCTGACACACGTTGTTCCAGATGCTCTCAAACAATGCCCAAACTTCCTGATGAGATGTCAGAGGAGGTGGAGCAACATCCTCCTCTATCTCTGTCATTAGGGAGTCCTCATTTTTAGAGTCATCGTCCTCTACTGGAGCTTTCAGAGACTGTCACACATTCACAATTTATGAGTAATCAGAATGAAAAAATTAACCATTGTTAAATCTTAATGAGACTGACCTGTAGTCTTTGCTGTAGCATATAAAGGGTCGAGAGAGCATGAGCTACAAGACCGTTGTACTGAGATCTGCCAGCCAGTGCCGACAGCAGCTCTGCAGCCAATCTCACAGCACTGTGAACAGATCTGTGCTCTATGGACCTGTCTACACACAGATACAACATAATTTGAGATATATATATATATACAGTATATATACACACTGAACAAAATTATAAACGCAACACTTTTGTTTTTGCCCCCATTTTTCATGAGCTGAACTCAAAGATCTAAGACTTTTTCTATGTACACACAACACAAAAGGCCTATTTCTCTCAAATATTTTTCACAAATCTGTCTAAATCTGTGTTAGTGAGCACTTCTTTGCCAAGATAATCCATCGACCTCACAGGTGTGGCATATCAAGATGCTGATTAGACAGTATGATTATTGCACAGGTGTGCCTTAGGCTGGCCACAATAAAAGGCCACTCTACAATGTGCAGTTTTACTGTATTTCAGCGAACCTAAACATTCAATTGGGAAACATTAAATTCAAAGGCAACAGCTCTGATGGACATTCCTGCAGTGGGATGCTCTGGATCGGCGTATACGACAGCGTGTTCCAGGTCCTGCCAATATCCAGTGACTTCGCACAGCCATTGAAGAGGAGTGGACCAACATTCCACAGGCCACAATCAACAACCTTTTTTTTTTTTATTCTGCCTTTTATTGTGGCCAGCCTAAGGCACACCTGTGCAATAATCATGCTGTCTAATCAGTATCTTGATATGCCACACCTGTGAGGTGGATGGATTATCTCGGCAAAGGAAAAGTGCTCAGTAAGGCCCCGTTTACACGAGAACGATTCCGGGTGAAAACGTAAAAATATTTTATCGGATGTGCCTTTCGTTTACACGGCAACAGCGTTTTGGGGGCTTAAAAACGCAAAAAAGTGAAACCACCCTCCAGAATGGAAATCTTAAAAACGCTCCACGTTTAGTTCCCGTCTAAACGGTAAAAACGCAAATCTGCTCACGGTGGCTCTCGTCGCGTACGCGTTTACATCACAGGCATGCGCCAGTACAGGAAAATAACAACCAACATGTCAGATTATTTCAGGCTGCCTATTTCAGAGTCTTTTCAGCAGTTGTACAAAATATTCTAAGATATTGGTGTTGTTGTGTGGCAGTGCTTCACATTGCCACCTAGCCGCCTGGAGTGCATACTACATCGAATTTCACACACTTTTGCGTCACCATATGCACGCGGATTTCCCAACCATAACGCTCGTCTAAACGCAGAATAAAAAGTGATAACGCAACGCCACTTTTGCGTTTTCTCTTCAGATCGTTTCCGTGTAAACATAGCCTAACACAGATTTAGAAGGATTTGTGAACAATATTTGAGAGAAATAGGCCTTTTGTGTACATAGAAAAAGTCTTAGATGAGTGAGTGAGTGAGTGAGTGAGTGAGTGAGTGAGTGAGTGAGTGAGTGAGTGAGTGAGTGAGTGAGTGAGTGAGTGAGTGAGTGAGTGAGTGAGTGAGTGAGTGAGTGAGTGAGTGAGTGAGTGAGTGAGTGAGTGAGATAGATAGATAGATAGATAGATAGATAGATAGATAGATAGATAGATAGATAGATAGATAGATAGATAGATAGATAGATAGATGTGGTCACTGCTGAAGAAAAGAAGTGAGGATAGCAGCTTAACAAGACAGAAGTGGGCAGAAAACAAAGGTTCACAAATGTGTCCACAACGGGATAGGGAGGAGACCTGATTATAAAAGGTCATCGCCTCTGGCCAAATCACTAACCCACTAATATAAAAGTCACAAAAAGAGTGAAGGACACTCCCTCAACTCCATAAAGTGCAGTAAATCACATTTAGGTGAGAACAGGAGGGCCCTGGTACTTTTCCACCCCTCCACTACTGAACAAACTCCCTTCCTCCCCTTTGTCGGGCTGGGCTCATGGCCAAAGGCAGCAGAGAAGAAAGGCACAGTCATACCTCTTCTGCAGTGATTGGCAGAATGAGGTCAAACTCATAACTACACACACTGCATGAGAAGAGAGTGTGCACGAGTGTGGGTCAAAACCACAAACAGAGATGCACATACATACACACACACCAATTATACTGGTGTTTAAATTACACATTTAATGACATAATTAGCAACTGAAGGACAGAAAAGAGAAGGTAGAGCAGCCCTAAATATATGTTTTGTCCTTTGTCACATAGAAATTAGCCTAATTTATGTGAAAGAGATAATAACTACACAAAGTGTGACAGAAAAGAACAAAACAGAATAGAATAGAATTCCACTGCTATATTCATTTCATTTTTTAATTACTGTAATTACGAGGTGACAACTCAAGAGATTTTGAGATTCAACAATATTCAGAGATTCCAACAAATAAAAAATAAAAGAAAAAAATTAGTTTGACAAAGATAAATAATAAATAAATTAATGCATGAGACTTGTGCGATATTGTGAAATAAATATTATTTCATTTAATTTATAATTTAATTTATATACAATTTAAAATTAGTTTTCTAATTGAATATATTTTAAAATGTAATTTATTCCTGTGAAAGCAAAGCTGAATTTTCAGCATCATTACTCCAGCCTTTCTTATTAAGAAACATTTCTTATTATTATCAATGTTGAAATAATATCATTTCTGCAGTTGTTCTGCAGGATCCTTTGATGAATAGAAAATCCAAATGATCAGCATTTATTTGAAATAAAAATCTTTTGTAACACTATAAATGTCTTTACCGTCACGTTTGATTGATTTTTTTTTGCATCCTTGCTGAAGGTCTTACTGACAAATTACAGACCCAAACTTTTGAACGGAATAGAATTGAATAGAATAGAGAATAAATAGAATAAATTCTAAAATGTGACAGAACACAATTATAAGACACAATATAATTCTAAAATTAGAATACAATTAAAGCAAAACATTAGAATTATAATGTAGAGTAGAGCAGAATTCAGATATTTTTATTATATATTATTATTTAATTTAATTTAAAAGTAATCAAATTGAAGTTACAAAGTATGACACTAAAGCAGTGAGACATACTGTACATACCTGAACAGAGACAGTCACTCAGCATCTCCACAGAGCTGAGCAGGCTCCTCTTTATAATGCTTCCGAAGACAGCGATCCAGTGCTTCTTAAAACACTTCAGCAGCCCATCCAGACTCCATGGAGGCTTCACGTACACGATCTGCATTCAGAAACAGATAAGGTCACAGAGAATGGGGCTACAGCAGATGAACGTCAAAAAAAGAATCTGAGCCTGAGGAGACAAATACATTTACATGAATGAGAAGCAGCTTTAAATATTAGCTTCATATAACATTTATAGATGAATGAACTATCAATGGCCGCAGAAAGTGCAGTGGTACCTCAGTCCACAGGTCTCCATAAGCTGCCTTCATCTCCTCCTCAAGCACCTCAGAGAGCGCCCCCTGTAGGCAGGACTCCAGCAAAGACACACATTCACTCAACTGTCGCTCCTCCGCTGCATTTCTGCTTCTATTCTTTTGCGGTCCTTCCTTCTCTGCTTCGTTCACATAGGGAGGTGGCAACAAAATGACTTTACAAGGCCTTTGTAACTAAAGCATTAAGAAAAACACAACTAATAACGCAAAAACAGAGATATTGATAAAGCAAGTGTCAGTAGCAGACCTTTATCTACAGGTCCAGCTGTGGGCGGCACAGCAGGGTGAGCATGAAAGTAGTTTAGGATTGAAGATCTGGTTCCCTCCACCTCTTTTACCAAGTCTGCCTTACTCAGGGCCTTTACCCCACTGAGCAAAGCCTTGCTACACAAGTTCTTATCATTGCTACAAAAAGATTCCAGAGAGTGAGAGAGAGAATATAAATGTAAGCAGTAAGAAGTGTTGTCATCTACCTTCAAAATTAACATTCTTCAGGGGGACACTAATGGCTGAAATATAATCATTAAATCACATAATATTCATTCATAAAGCAAACACATGGCCTCCTTGCATTTAATTAGCTAGCTGTCAAATGACAAGACATCAAACAAATGGGAATGTCCTTAATGTAGTGCAGACATGCCTAGAGGTGAAACAGAGGTATGAGTGAATGTACTCACGTGCAAAGAACTAGAGCTCCCTCTGGGAACAGAGCCTGGTACTGCAGACAACACTCCAGCACTCTGTCATCATTGTTCACAACACCAGGCCCACCTAAGAGAGAGAAAAGACAAAGTCATATAATCCATGTTATACACTGTAGTATGCCACATTAGGAGTGATGCAGCCTGAAAATACAATGCCAAAGGAGTCTGTATTGCATAATGTTTCCACTGGAACTTTTCAAGCACTTTTGAAACATGCATCCATGCTTTTAGAGCCAATGCTGCCCATAATCCCTTGTACTACAGAAGAGCTTGAGTTTTCAAAGAGCTTACTACAAAGTATGCAGTGTACCATGACCAGCACAGTACATACTTTCAGTGTGGGACTCAACCACAGTTTACAGTAATACAGCATTTATTGCTGTACTGAGTTACTCATTTATTGGTGATGTGTTGCAATTTACACAACCATAGAAAACTATTTATGTTTTAAACCCCTTTTATCTCTACTTTGGAATCGTACATGATCTTAATGTTGAATTATTTTACACCTAAAAGGTTTCTTAAAGCTGTAGTCCGTAGCTTTTTTGGGGTTAAAAATGATCCAAAATACATATTTGAGAAAATACATAACCAGCCAGTGATCAAAACTATCTGCTTGCCTTGGCTCGATTCAAAACGGTAAGCTTGTAATAATGTTTTTAATTCCAGTGGTACTGGTGGATTTCCGCGGGAGATTCGAGCATGTCTTTGCGTCATTACGTCACATCTGTACACATAAAGAAGGAGTCTCGGCTAGTAGGCTATATTGCGTGTGAGGATGTTGGAGGTGGAGATTTATAGTCTTTTTTCACAGCACTTGATATAATTGAACTGATCAATTTGATGGCGGATCCAGAAAGGTTCAAACGACAATCACCAGTGAACAGATTAACTCGCTGTAAAATCCAAAAGACTTCGTTCGGACTTCGGAGTGGCTACAGAAAAAAGAGACTGCAACCGGACCCATGCGAAAACAAGGATAAATATCAGAAGGACATTACATTTAGTCACGCAATGCTGACGTTGTTAACATTAACAATTCCGCGAATGACTGCAATTGCAGATTTCGAACAGAGATGGCGACAAGAGGAAAAACGCCAGACTGCAGCTTTAAAGCATGAACATATGTCACTGCTCAACAATGCAGTGGTATTTTAGTATTATTTATATAATATTATATAAATTCTTAATATTTAATGAATATATCTTAATTAATTAGATTTAAATTTTAGTTCATTTTTATAAAATTTTAGTAATTTTAGTAATTCAACAAACGTATTTTATTTATTTATTTTTATTTTATTTGTTGCCAATGCAACATTTCTAATATTCATATAAGATTTTAAAGTTTTTAATCTAATATTTCTTTTATTTTATTTCAGCTTTCATTCAATTTAGAATTTTTAGAATAGTTTTAGTTTTAGTCAACAATAACGACACTTCCATAATGCAGAGTGGTAATATTTGTCCAGCTCAAAAAAGTACAAAAAATTATATTGTCATGAGCTTTTATTAATTTTTTTAGATTTCTATTCTAAAAAAAGTAATTATAAAATTATTTAGCATGACCCGCTAAATGTCCAGCATGAAATTAGAAAGAAAATAATTAATATAGCGCAATAGGTTGATTGTAGGAATTATGATTTATTTTTCTATAAGTATTCATTTACATTTTCTATTATTCAATTTAATATATATATATATATATATATATATATATATATATTATTCAAATTTAAATGTACCTGCAAATTGATTTTATTGCCAACTGACAAAGTGTGCTTCTTTTTACATGTCTTAAAAAGTAAACATACAGTAGAGGCACATCACTTGCATCTCAGGATAGGAATAACTCACAGGCAGCTTGGGAGGCTTGCTGCATTGACTGGCCCATGAGTCTGGGCTCCTGGTTTTTCAGGCAGCTGTAGATGTAGTGGACAGCTGGCCTGGCTTTGTCCTCCACCTTGCTGGAGAGTTTACCACTCTTCAGATAGTCCAACTCCTGCAGCACAACCCATGGGATCAGCAAAGTGGGAAACCCCAGTCCTAGGATGAGGGGTGCTTAGAGTGAAAGGCTGTACCAATATTATTCTCCAAATGTATGAAAGTACTGAAAACTAGTGCCTTCCTTACCACTGAGACCATGTGACCTGATCTTCTTCACAAACTCCAGGTGGCTGAGCAGCACATTGGTATCCAGGACTATAAGAAGGGCCTGTTTATGTTGATCTTCATGTGTAAACACACACACAGACACAAAGCACAACTATCCATCAAACAAACCAAGATTCAAATACAAAAGGTGCCTACTGTAGGACATTGCTTAGTCATTTTCCAGTAATAATTAGTTATTTTGAACATTTCACAGGTGACCTTACTTAGCATAGTGCTGGCACCCTCTTCTGGGGGGTCAATGTCCATGCAGGTGAGCTCTCCACAGTTCTCCACCAAGTTCACCTCCAGTCTCCTCTCAGAACGTGCCAGATGAAGTTCCTCCACCAGCTGCATCTAAACAATGAATGAAACAAAATGAGAAACACAAACACACAAGATTTTATTCTGAAAACAGAGGCAGATTGTTAACCTACCTCATGATCACAGTCAAAGGTCTCTTCAGCTTCTTGGGGAGTTATCTGAAATGGTACAAAACAACTGTTAAATTTGTGTTTAATTCAATAGAAAAAATTATATTATTTTAATGGAATTTCCTAATTCACTGCTGTTTCCTCTTAAATATTGTCGAAAATTTTCTTCAACACTGTGAGGAATAACACTGTGAGGACTATTGGATAATGTCAATTAGTATATATATAAATTAAATGTCTTGTTTTTCACATTTTGTTATGTCGCTGCCTTATGTTAAACTACAGATTCGTGACTATATATATATATATATATATATTTAAGAGAAATGTCTTGTAACACTGATTCAGATGAAGATGGCCCAAACACAAGACACTTACATTTTGTGCCTTACAGGAAGTATTGCTTTGAATCGAGACCTCTCTTGTTTTGTCAGTGTGCACTTGCTGGACTTGCTGAGAAACATATGAAGGACGTGATGGGCAAAGAGAAGAGGGTCTATGAGAGGTCTGAGGCAAAACTTCTTTAGGCCTCTGTACTTGCTGTTGTGCGATAAAATATTTGCGTTTAGATGGAGTAAAGCCAGCAAGATAAGGCTGAGTGGAACATTGAGTACTGCTATCTGAAGAATGCACATTAAACATATTTGTGTTTGTCCGAACTTTAACAGCAGTGGCTTTCATAGGGATCTTGAAAGTGACTTTTGCTGTGGGACCACCAAAGAATGGCCTTTTTTCTTTTAAGTTTTCACCAGGTACATTACCCAACTGTACATGGTCTTGCATCTTGGGTGAAATATCCTCTAGTAATTTCAGTTTAGATCCAGAATTTACATGTTTCACTACTGGCAAAGCTTCTTTGGGGTTGTCATTACCAGTTTTACCACGAGAACTCTGTGCACCAACAGTTTGGTTGAACTTCTTGAAACTCCTGCCCACCAACATTTCTTTTTGAACTTCAGAATTACAGTCTGCATGTGCTACTTTGGTCATGTTATTGTCATCTCTTCGCTTGGGTTCAGCATGAAGTTCTGGTGACAAAGTCCTCTTCATGGGTTTCCGCTTTTTCTCCTGGAGTTTCTCAGTGGAACAATCATCCTTTGCAGGCGTCCGCCTGCAATCCTCTGTTGCAGATCTCCTCGACACTAGCTCCTGTCTCTTCTTCTCCAAATCCTTTGAAGAAGGCTGGTTTAATCCTGCATGCCTGCTGGAGCTTTTCCCTGAGACATGGGCGCTTGCAATTTCATGCTTCCCTTTGGGATTCACTTGCTCTTTATCATGTGTGACAGGTGACTTGAAAACTGGCCTGGAATTCTCAGTTTCTTTGCTTTCTCTGGATCTTTCTTTCTTCCTCTTGTTGTCTCCAGCATCGGTCTTCTTTAATTTCGTATCAAATCCTCTTGCTGATGGTGAGTCAACAGCCCTCCTCCATTTAGCTTCATCTTTGTCAGAACTGTAAATCAATGGAAAGTTTTTATTGAATAGATAACTCACAATAAATATTTGGTGAGGAAATGGTATACAAGGAAATATTGGAAAAGAAAATGCTTTCTTTATTTACTTTCTTTACATTAGGTGCCTTGATTAAGTTCTTCTTTCTTTATTTTGTATATGCATATAATGCTCTAAGTTCTCAAAAAGTTAGTTTGCTCGCATGTGTAGCTCAGGAAGCTGAAGCAAGGTAAAAGGCTCTAACCACAATAACGCTAACTCGTGACCTTTCCGTAATGAATGCTGACGGTATAACACCTGTAAGCGAGACATGTACACGATGAACTTGCAGTTAGAACATCTATTTACTCTCAGGTGCACTTGGAAGTGCTATGTAATTATTTGGCATCACTGTATGACGTAGTTGCTATATGCAGATGCAAAATGTAGTAGCCTCTGACCAAGTAATCATTGATTAAACTCATTACTCATTTTATCAACAACTTTTATTGTATCCTGATTTTATAAACTGCATCAATTTTTAAAAGGTTTCATGATCTAGCACATTCTTATCTATCATTGACCCTGGAATAAATGGAATAAATTAAAAAACTTTGCAGAAGGTAAAGATGGCAGAATGTTTTTCTTACACACTGTCAGTTCTATACATTATATTATATTGTAAACACAATGTGTAAATCTATATAAAACAAGTATGTACAAACACTCAAAAATGTATTCTAATTCTAAATTCTACTAATATTTTACACCCCGAGACCCACCTTACATACCGATGATGATGTTTGTGTTTGCTCTTTGGGCTGCTGAATCTCTTTGTGCCTTTCTCCTATGACCAAAAACATTCACTCTTTTACCAAATGCTTTTATCCAAGATAATTTACTTTCAAACAAGAATTAATGTTAATAATTTAATGCTAATATGAATGAGAATGAACATGTAAAAAATAATGAGAATAACTCAGATGTTAGGAATAACTAGATTAAAAACTGCACTTTCCAACAACAATTATGTTGCAGATTCCTCACCTTCTTCTCATCTTCACGCAAAGAGCTTGATGACATTCTTTCATCCTTTTTGTGTTTCTTCTTCTTTGATTTCTTGCTAGACATTCTCAAAACCCTGTGAAAGAACAGAACAGAACATTTTTTGGAAAATGATTTCAGTCCCTTACATTAAATCAAAAATACAGAGTCTAATGTTAAAAAAATCCACAGGTTGGTTGTTTGTTACTTTTAAGAGGACAGCAGTACAGCATGGCTTGATGCGCCAGTGTTGTTATTGTTATTAAAAAATCATTTTCTTTTATTAAAATAAAGCTTAAATAAATTGTTATATAAATATTATAAGAAACACTTTCACGTGTAAACCAAAATTAGATATGTCTAAATGTAACTAAATTAAGTAAGTTTAAGTTGACCTACAAAAATGACTTGTTATTTAAAAATAAATTAAAAATGAATAGAAAAATTATATAAATAAAAGTACATAACAAAATTACTAAAACGATTTAGTAAAAAAACATGGGAAGGTAATCTAGTTTTAGATTTTATTGTTTACATATTGATTTCTGCTACAATAATAACAGTGTAACTTTTATACAGTCATTTTCATACAAGAATCTACTTTAGAGAGCATTTCTAGTCAGTACTAAGTACAAAGAAAACTTTTTTTCTCCCAAGAGCTGCATATCAGCGAATCCCAAACAAAAATCCTGTTCATCCTTGAGAAACAGATAGTGCTAACTGCCCATGTAAACAAAGTGTAGCACTACATAAAGCTCTCAATGAAATCTCGTTAGTAAGTGTAACGTTACTTGTAAAAATGTGGCAACTTTAGGTCATACAGAAATACAACTGTGACAGGGATGTCAAACGAATACTAACATTGCATCACATTTTCTGACCTTCCTAAATGTCTAACGTTACGTTACATTACAACTTAAAATCTTGAGAAACATGGAATTCAAGCGTCAACAAGAGTCTTACTTATACGTTTTTGTTTTATTTTCTACAGCTTCAGTGAGAAAGAGGTTTACCTATCACAAGCCGACACCGAATGACAGAAGGTAAAAATATTCTTCAAGCAATAAGAGTTGTTTTCACTTCACCACTTGCTTACATTTGCCTCGCTGAGTCGCTGATGAATTCACTTCCGCCCTTTTAGTTTGCGTAGTTTACGGGACCACGATTGGTGCAGCCCCACAACGCAACCGCCCACAACGCTCAATGCGTACGGATCCGAATTCTGCTAGTTTGGGAAAATGGCGGAGCTCAAGGAAGGGGACGCTGAGCAACTTCACCAGGAGGACGCCAATATAAAAGGCAAAATAATTTGAATTAATAATTATACATTTATTCAACCCTGTTTAGCAGGTTCCTTAAATAACACTCAGCATTTAGAAATTTTGTATTTTATGCAATTTATCCTTAATGCTACTTCAAAACTGCAGAAGTAAATATAGGCCTCCTCATGGAGCTCCACCATAGGACCTAGGTGCAAATAATGTAAATGTTCAAAACGCAAATATTCTCGCCCACATCGACAAAGAACTGACATGTCACTAGGTTGCAAAAACTTTAAATCAATCGATGCATTATTATCTGAGTTAAACAATAAATTGTGAATAACAGTATGTATACTAAATGTAGCAACGGTCTTACCGCGGAGCTCCGCACTAGGGCCGTTCTGCTTGAAAACATCAGCCTCAGAAAGCGGGATTGGTTACTTCATGGAAATGTACATGGGTTAACATATGAGGGCGCTCCAGTATTGTCGTTGTGGTTTAAAAAAATAATAGTTTTCTTCATTACAGTGTCTGCAATGCGAGCGATGCACTGTAATCTGTCCTGAGACTTTTCTGCAAAACTCAACCTCTACGTAGCTAAACATACTCCATTCAAACTTCGTTTTGTTGAAAATTCTACGAATTTATCATAGTATTATTTTTTTTATAAATAAATTGTATTGTTTAAAAGTTAAGTTCTCCCATTTCCTAGGCGGTCATAATTGACAAAAAATTCATTATAATATAAGAAATTATGACATAAATATGATAACGAGTCGTAATTATTATCAAATAAAACACTTTATATGCATTTATTTTAACTTTATCTCATAATGTTTACTTTTTATAATTATGATTTATCAAAGCATGATTTATTTTTCTCATGTGAACAAATCTAACCAATCCAAATTGTTCACACACTAAATCCTAAAATTATTATTATCCTGAAATGAATTCTTTCCTCGTTTAAAATATCCACATTTTTAATGTGTATTATTTTCCAGATGTATTTTCCAATTTTAACGTCGAAAGTCTTGGCCTGGAACGAGGGGTGAAACAATACAATCTCTCTATATATAAAGGCTTTAAAAAAAATTAAGACATTGTACCAAGGCAATTTTAATGTTGTATTCTTATAACATCAACAAAAAGAAGTTGTTATAGTAAAAAATCAACCCCGGGACATACAAATGACTGTTAGTCGAAGAAACACCCAATTGATTGTGATTGTACAGTAAGACCAGTTGATTGCAACTGTAATTTTCATCAATGGAAAATATATAATATTTTTTTAATTTATTAAATATTTAATTAACTAATGATATTTTCATGAAGGAAAACTCTTTCGTCTTTAAGTTTGCTTCAATATACAGTATTTTGCTGAAGTGTGAATTTGTTTGTATTAACAGACACTGGGACTGATACCAGTAAGATCCTCGCTGAATCTGTGGAGCGTGAGCAAATGCCAACTCAATCAGCAACTACTACTCCAGTGAAAACAGAGGACAAAAATGGACAAACATCCTCCACTGTCGTGTCAGGTAAATATTCAACAGTATATGATGATTATCACTCAGACAGGATGTCTCTCACCATTGTTAAATCACTGAATTGAAATCATCCGTCTCTGTTTCAGAGAGACATGTGTCTATTCAAACCACACTGGAAGGGCTCGAAATGCTTGTGGATTTAAACGGAGGTACTTAAACCAGAAGTACCTGTTTATTCTGTCCGTTTATTACAACCACCAGCAGACCACTTGAATCTGAAGCTAATAAATATCTCTGTTCATTGATTTTGACAGCCGGGAGGAAGTCTTGTCCATTGTGTCCAGAAGAGAAATTTAAGGCCTGTTACAGTCATAAACTTAGACGACACCTGCAGAACTTACACTGGAAAGTTTACGTGGAATTTGAAAGTAAATGGTTCTCTTTGGCAGCTAATTTTCTTTTTCAACACACATTTGAAAGCTGTTGCTTCGGGTTAGCAGCTAATTCATGCGTGAACATTTTGCTTGGGTAAATTAACTTTGTTTCCTCTCCTGCAGGCCAAAGGATGTGCATCTGTCATCTGCCTTGCCGACAACTCAAGTCCAGTCTAGGCTCTGACCAGGTAAGATGACGTGTTATGAAGTGTTTCTTTCCATACACATCCCATGGCTGTAATTATATTGACAAAAAGCCTTTCTATTCTAAAGTGAACATAGAGATGCTGATGCTTTATTTAAAATGTATAATTGTTCTTAGCTTTGCGAAACTTGTTAGTTTACAACGATTGAACCTCATTACTATAATGCGAACCTCATTACTATACACTGAACAAAATTATAAACGCAACACTTTTGTTTTTGCCCCCATTTTTAATGAGCTGAAGTAAAACTGCTCATTGTAGAGTGGCCTTTTATTGTGGCCAGCCTAATAGGCACACCTGTGCAATAATCATACTGTCTAATCAGCATCTTGATATGTCACACCTGTGAGGTGGATGGATTATAGAGAGAGCGTTTCTCAATACCAAGTACGCAAACTTCGGACTTGCGTCCTTGGTAGTTCGGACTTGCCAAGTTCGACTCAGGAGAACGAACTCCCGAGGACGAGAGGACGCGAGTCCGGTTATTCTGCAAATGGAACAGTGCGTTCTTGATCGCGTCACTCAGCACGCTCTGGCTACTCTGGTTATCTCTTTATGTATATTTTAGGCAACAATAAAACGAAATATGCTACAACTCTGCCTCTTTTCGTCAACAATAAAACAAAATATGTTATAAAACACCACTCTGCCTCTTTTCATTTAAAAATCTTAAACATATAGTAGCCTAATGGCCATGTGGTTCAGGCAACGCGTACATTATCTTCACTGCATATATTTATAACAACATGAACATGATCTTTTTGTTTTCATTTTAAAAATATGAAACATTATTGATTTTTATTGACATTTAACAAACAGAGACAGGGTTGTGTCATTTTATTTTATTGTACATATAGTGAAGAGAATGTTAATATTAATATATAAATATATATTTTTAAAGTAGCCTATGTCTCTTTTTCTTAATTGTCAGTTTTAATGATCAATAATATCTACAATGATAAATAAGGCAAACAATTCAAACATAAGTAAGCTCTCTAATAGGCTACAAAGTTAAAGTTAAATAGCCTAAATATATAAAGTTATGAATCTTCACTTTGCCCTCAGCCAAAAAGGATTTTTTTTTTGCCATGGAACAAACAATAGTTTAATGAGCCCAAGGATCGACTTATGGTGCGTTCAAGTCATCTCGTATAGATCGTATTTACGAGTTGAACGCACTTGAACGCCACCACAATGTCGTAAATACCAGTGGGGAGTTCGGGATTTTCTCTAAGCCCCGATCTTTCCGAGTTGTGGGCGTGTCACTGAGAAACATGGCGAATTACCAAATTACTTAAATATTATGCAGTGATATCGTCAAGGTTTTCTTATTTACAGCGCAGTTAAGCGAATTGCCTGCACAGAATATGATGGCATCATAATATAACAGTGCAACATGTAACGATAAAGTTGGCAGTGGCTTCATAAATTAATTAAAAACATAAAAAACAAAGTACATCCGATGCACATTTCTTTGTTCTTCATTTTCTAGAACAACAGTTTAAGAACCTTACTGTATTTTTATGTAATTAATTAAGAGAAAGTACTCCGCCATCTTCCTCCGACAAAAGTGACTTGAACGCACTGTCGTCGTAAACACGACTTCCCACCTCGTACGTACGAACTTCCCCAGGAGGACTTGAACGCACCATTATACACAAGACGAATTATACGTCAAGTTTATCCACTAGAGACATCAGAGCCAGCGGCTAACGTCAGCACTAGCCGAGGAAAAGCTGTTCCAGTCGGGGTTGATGAGCGTTGAACACCCGCGGTGAACGCCTGGATGTCACAACTCCGAAAACGTCAGATAGGCCTACATTTTTCAAATAGGCGCTATCTTTATAAATAAACCACAGATTTGAGCTTTAAACAACCACATTCTCGCCTGAAACACTCTTAAAATTACATTTCATGACACAATAACAGTAGTATTTTGATATTACGCGGGTTTTCTCCTCTGCTATTGACGCTTGCTGGTTGGTGCGAGATGCATTCTGGGATACCTGGCTGTCTCAAGTCCGCACAAGTCACCTCTCGATGCATCCTCGGTAAACGGGGCGGATGGCGGATCAAGAACACATCCGGGGATTTGAACTGGACTTGGCTAGATGTGAACTTTGAATTGGAACAGTACTTGGGCAGTGACTGATGACGTTTCACAAGCCCACAAGAACACAAGTACAGACAAGAACGCATATTGAGAAACGGAAACATACCAATGACTAATTGCTCACCAATGCCACATTCAAAAATAATAATAATTCTGAAATATTATTACATTTTAAAATAACTGTTGAAATGTAATTTATTCCTGTGATGGCAAATCTGAATTTTTAGCATCAGTACACCAGTCTTCAGGGTCACATGATCCTTCATAACTCATTCTAATGTGCTGAATTGGTGCTCAAAAAACATTTCTTATAGATTTCAATGTTGAAAACAGTTGTGCTGCTAAATCTTTTTCTAGGACTCTTTAGTGAATAGAAGGTTCAGAAGAACAGCATTTATTTGTAATAGATATTATTATAAATAGCTTTTACTGTCTCTTTTGATTCATGTAATGCATCCGTGCTGAATAAAAGAAGAATATCTTGCTGACCCCAGCCGTAAATATAAATATCCAGCCGTAGCCTTGTTTTCCTGTTGTTGGACAGTACAGAATAGATAGATCGAAAAGCTTTTATCTGTGCCAGTTTATCAGGAAAAATTAAATTACATCCTCTTGAATTAATACATTTATGTATTTGTTCCCCTCACCTCCAGACTCAAAGCAGACTTGTGGCTCACTACCACTGTGTGGTTTGCTCTGTCACTATTGCTCGCAAGACAGACATGATCAGTCATCTCAAACGCCACTTCAACAAGGGTGAGACAGAGGCCAGCTATTCAGGCAGCTCAGATGTACCCTTTGAACAACCTGGTGAGCCTTTACTCTATTGCTGTTTAAAATGTTTGATATGCTTCTTCGTTTTATGTGCTTTACTGACATGACCGATAATTGTGCATTTGTGCTGACAGCTTCTCAGAGGGTGAGACAATAGCCAATAAAAGAGAACAGCATGAACATGATGCCAGTTTGTTGATGTGGAATAATGTAGATGTTGGGATTGTTTTCATAAAAATAATAGTTCCATTTTTTGTGTTATGTCCTTTTATCTTGTGCCTTTAACCTTTTGAATTTGCAGGTAGGGTAAGAAAGAATAGGTAAATCTAACCTAAACCATACAGCACTCAGCCGCTCACAAGATGAAGTTCTTCAGGAGTGATATGAAAGATCCCCGTGTGGTTCATGTTCAGGCCTTGGCCTTTGCTTTTTAGTTTAGTCTCACAGGAGTTGGTTAAAATGCTTTAATTCGCTACAGCACTAAGCAATTAATTTATTCAATTGCATATTAAATCCACTCATTAGGGTATTTGTGTAGGCAGCATCTGAAGAGCGTACTCCTGAGTCCTCAGCCTTTTTACAGTTTTTTTAAGGATGCTATTCCTCTGCATTTAGTCAATATTTACCAAATTATTTGTCCGCATTGATTCTCTTTCTTTCTCAGTCCCAGGTGGACAGGCTTATGAGATTATGAAAGAACTGGGCACCAATGTCCAGCTCCTGCCCAACCACACCACACCCCAGAAGACAGACACCTACTTCAACCGCAAGATGAAGACAAACAGGTTGGAGAATTATTTTTATTTGACGAACGACTCGTTATTTAAATGTGTACCTCGTAAAAGATATAACGAACCAAAAACAGAGTTCAAACAGTTTACAATAAAACAAAAGAATGGCGTCAAGCTCCCTACTTTCCCAAAAATCAATATTTACAATATATTCACAATCAGGCAAACAAACTGAAAAGGGCAGTCCAAATTAGTGTAGGTAAACAGGCAAAGGGTCAAATATACCAATGTAACAAGTTATTTAGATACACAGCTCTCAAAAAGCTCTTATCACTCAAATACTCTTTAACAGTCTCAAAACTCTTAACACTCAAATCACAAACTCTCTCTGCTCAAAACACAAGATCTCCTTACTTCCTGTAAAGGAAGTGATGTCTCTTTTTAAAACAAGCTGCACCAATCAGGATCGAGCAGCAATCATCGTGCAGGAACCAATCAGATAGGCGTTCCAATCATCCTGCAGGAACCAATCAGATGACGTTCCTAAACAGACACACTGAGAGACTGACAAAACAACAGAGATAACAAAATACAAACCATAGGGTCGAAACATGTAAACCCACATTACAATAAAATATTTATTTGTACTTTAGCATCTTAAATGTAACTTTGGCTGAAGTTATACTTAATATACTTAATTATCTACTTAATATTTTATTTCTGTTTATATAAATATATTAATATTTAGTAAAATAATAAAAAAAATAGACCTACCTATGGGTCATGGACACCCTGTTGAAAAACCCTATAAAGTGCTGATTATTTGATGATTGTATCACACTAAAATGTGATTGTTGTAGGCAGCTGGTGTTCTGCTCTCTGGCTGTTCTTGCTGAGGAGAGGAATCCACTCGAATGTCTCGATGCCTTTGGAGCGACTGGTAGGAAATGTACTGTAAAGAAAGAGCTAACATCTCATGATGATAAATCGCACTGCTCAGTTTTTGCTCCGAATGATTTGATAAAAATGAAAAGGGTTGTATACCTATTTGCATACATTTAGAACATATTGATCCTTTTTGTAGGAATCATGGGTTTGCAGTGGGCAAAGCATCTGCGCAACTCTGTAAAGGTTACTATAAATGACTTAAGCGAAGCTTGCGTGAAGATGATTAAGGAGAATTGTCATCTGAACCACATCCGAGTAGAGGGCACTCGTACAGGCCGGCAGCTCGACGGAGCGGGAGATGCAGACTCGCCCATTGCCTCCGTGGAGGTGGTGAAGATGGACGCCAATGTCATCATGCACCTGAGACCCTTCGACTACATGTGAGTGAGAGACTGATGAACTGTTGGTGATAATGACTAAAAACATTGTACGCATAATAATTTACTGCATTCCTGTTTTAAAATCAGACACCTTGACCCATTTGGAACGTCTGTAAACTATCTGGACGCTGCTTTTCGTAACGTTCGGAACCTGGGCATTGTCTCTGTGACGTCGACAGACACCGGTTCGCTTTACTCTAAATCCCTGAATGTGACGCTTCGACATTACGGTTGCCAGATAGTCCGAACTGAGTATTACAGGGAACTCGCGGCGCGTATGGTATTGGCATCAGTGGCCAGGTGGGCAGGTCTTTCTGAAATGAATCAGCATACACATCTTTATTTTATTAGACCGTTTGCAAACCGTCTTGTCAATGCATGTCATTTCAGGGCGGCTGCACGCTGCAACAAAGGGATTGAAGTGCTGTTGGCCGTAGCTCTTGAGCACTTTGTCCTCGTAGTGGTGCGAGTTCTTAGAGGGCCCACCCAGGCAGACGAGTCCTCTAAGAAACTGCGGCAGCTGTTGCACTGCCAGTGGTGTGAAGAAAGGGTGTTCTTCAAGCCAGGAAGCATGGTGGAGGGTGAGAAAGCACTTGTACAAACAAACAGCTGCACCCTGATAGTGTCCCTGTAGCCAAAATAGTCGAGCATGGCTACAGTAATGGCAAGGTCATGGGTTTGATTCCCATGCATGAACTGAATCAATGAATCAATGCATGAACTGATCAAATGTATAACCGCCAAATCCATAAATGTAAATACATGTTCCTGCTTATGGTATATACAGAAAACCTGTACAGACAGCTGCCCTGCCAGTGCCATGGGAGTATGCCAGGAAAAACAGCAGTAGAGCTTGGACCACTTTGGTGAGATCATGTCATTCATACTTTTTTGTTTTTGTTTATAAACACTAATTATGATAATGCTTAATTCCTTCATTAATGACTATCATTTTTTTTTCTTTATTACCCCTTCCATCCACCAGGGCCGGCCCTCTGTTTAACACTGGTTTTCTGAGGCGGATGTTGGTGGCAACAGTGCAGCACAATATGGAAGACATCCAGCCTCTGGTGAAGACACTCATTTGTGAAGCTGACTGCACCACTCTCAAACCTTTCCCTGTCCCGGGATTCTCTGCCTTCTCCAACCAAGGTGTGTTTGGGTGTGCCCAAAGGTTTTTGCCCATCACTGTTTTTTCAGTAATCTTCTGGTTATTTATTCGTTAAATACAGCGTGGAGATGATAAATCTGAACTTGTTTTTTCCAGCATAACTTGATTTTTGCCTTGTATTTTTCAATCAATTTGACACATTTTTGTCTAGTGGAATGTGGTGTGGTCATAAAAACTTTACAGAAGGTTGAAGAGGCGGATACATCTGACCAGTCAGGTATTTGTTGCTTTATCAATGTCTTTTATCTGCTGTTCTCAGGGGTTTAACTGTTCCTAGGTCATCCCAGATTAAGTAGGGTTCATGGTAGAATAAAAGCTAAAATGGATTGATTGATAAAGTGTATTTTTTTCTTTTACTTTTTTATGTTCAGGGAAAAGAAAGCCCACAGGGGAGGACTGTGGGAATGTGCTGAAGAAAGTCAAATCAGATACATCTTTGGAGCATCCAGCATTCTACTACAGCATCCATCGGCACAGCATCCGCGGCATGAACATGCCTAAGTTAGTCAGCGCAAACTTCTCCATACACTGTCATGTATTGATGTACAATACATAATACATGTAGAATCTGACACTGAGGTTTGTTCCTCTCTCTCAGGCTGAATAAGTTCCTGCAGTATCTCACGGAGGCCGGGTTTAGAGTGAGCCGCACACACTTTGACCCAACAGGTGTGCGGACCGATGCCACCCTGGCACAGTTTAAGGAAGTGCTTACAAAATACAGCGTGCCTACCTACTCATCCGCCCCTCAAAGCAACGCTGTCAGCTCAGACCGACGTCTAACTCTCTGACTTTAGATACTGTGCCCGTGTGGGCATGCATTTGAGAGTTTGGACAGCACAGAGGTCAACTTTGGCTATTTTTATTGATGAGTTTTCCTGTTTATTTTAGAAATTTAAATGACAACTTGAGCAAGTTCTGGATAAGAAACAACATTTTCATCTGAATTAAAAGGGTTGTTTCAATTTTGTTGATGTTTTTTGTGGATTGCACTGACCCATTAAAGGGCTTCATAGTGTTTGAATAATCAGTCTGTGTTGACGGTGATGCAGTATTGACTTTTATTCTTTGGTTTTTGAATTTTTAATTTCTAAAAATATTAATAAAGACTCTGTCAAAGGTTTATATTTAACTTACCTGATCTGATTTTCTATTTCACTTCACTTTTGCTTAATTTTTTTTCCAGATTGCTAACAGTTGTGCTGTATAACATAAATATAAAAACATTTTACATTAAATGTGTATATTATAATTTATATTTAAATATAATATTAACATTATATAATTATAATATTATAATTTGAAAACATTGACAAAGTGCACGAGTGGAAAAAAAAACATGTTCGGGCCACATTTTACCTTAAAAACAACAGAATATTTAGCATATTTTTATAAATTATTTGATTGCACATTCATTTATTATTTTCATAACATTTAAGCAAATTTCCCCCTAGAATTCTCATTATTAATGCATTCTTAACTTTTGAGCATTTTTATTCAGTGTGATTTATAGAATTTTTTTTTTTTTCCACAGCAAAAAAAGCACAGAAATGTGCTTTCTTGTTATGCAAATTTCACAATGCAAAAACAAATCACGGTACAAAAAATTTTTCTTTTATGTTTGGTTTGAAATAAGACTTAAATGTTTTCAGATTTTATATGATTCATCAGTTTGAAAATGATAAATTAGAGCCACGCCAGCTTTATTTGCATAGTACATGTCTAGACCTCCCTGAAATGCACTAAAACTATCTTACTGGTATGACAGTTTGAATAGAAACTGTTTGTGGTAATAAACCTTAATGGAATCAAGTCTGTTCAGTATGTCACACATGTATTGTATTTCACAAACAAAGATGTAACAAAAAATATCATGGTTCTTCCTTGAAGCACTCTGGAGTCCCTTCCACTGTTACTCTGGTAGCTTTGATCACAGCTCAGATGCTCTTGCATATTCACAGAGAAGCCTGATTTATAAAACACATATCATATAGCAATAATAGCATGTTATTTTCATGAAATCATAGGCTGTAACTGTGTCAAAACTAAGTGAGCAGCCTCCCTAGATTTTGGGCATCACAGGTTGTCTAGGTAGACAGCTCCTTTTAAAGGACAGCCCTTGATTGTCCTGATGCAACAGTTTCATTCATGCCACTCCCACAGTCCTGAAATATAACACCTGCTTTCAGATTCTCCCTCAGTAGTGAATACAGAGACATTGAATCAACTTCACCAGAGCAGAAGAGAGCTCACCTGAACTAAACAGAGCAGTATGGGAACATCATCCAGTTTACTGGATGAAAATAAATCCAACTACATAAAAGGTATGTGTATAGGAACTTTATGTGGTCATTCTAAGTCACTAAGTGGTTTGGCATCGTTTATGAGTGTGGAAATAGCAGTAGTTTGTTTGTATGTTTTCCGATGCTCTTAAATAATAATAATAGGTTGCTGAAACGTTTCACTATACTGCAGAGAAAGATGGTGGATGTTTCTGAAATTGCAGATTGAAATGCATGAGATATTTTCTATTGTCCTAAATTACATGACCATTCAGTGTTAGAAAAATCATTGAATTTGTTAAATGACTATCATTAGTGTCCATTAGATCACTGTATTCACTCTACCCTCTCACCTGAAAAGTGAGAGGCAGAAACCTGTTTGTTTTCTTCTTGCCATTTCAAATGATCTGGGTGGAGGTTTTTAGTGTGTGTCAGAGATTAAAGGATTAAAATCAGCTCTGCTATTTGCTCAAATGGAAAAATAGCCAGTGTTTGCAATTTACATCTGTAGTCTGTAAAGAAAGAGTGATGTTTCGGAATGTGTGTGTGTTTTTTTATACCCTATTTCATTCACAGAACACATAGTTTTTAATGAAAAGCTCATTGTCCGAAAACGGGAAGTTATGAGCATGAAAATTGACAGGTGATAATTTCATTCGAAAAGGTTACTGCTGAACTGTCAGCTGCCAAAGATTGTTACCACTATAGGTGGAATATCCCAAATAAGTATTCAATATAAGGAATATTCATTGGCTGATTTTGAAACTATAACCCGTCTATAACTTCTGATGTGGTTACAGGCTTGCAAAGTACCAATAGTATTTTGATATGCATAACCTAATGTAAAAGCATTACATCATTTCAAGCTATTTGACATTCCCAGGTAACTGAACCTTTGACTTTGGAGTTCCACATGCTATGCTCTACCAGTTGAGCAACACAAACATTTAAACAATCGTTAGAATAGATGTCAATTCTGATAGTATCATAGTTTCTGTTACAAACAACAATGGCTTTAACTAGAAAATATTGTCACATGACACCACACTTTTTACAGTCAATGTTTTAGTTGCACACGCAGAGAAAACATGCCTTTTTTGGGAGCTTGATGCAGTTAATGTATATAACAAAGAATACATTTACATTTATTTATTTAGCAGACGCTTTTATCCAAAGCGACTTACAAATGAGAACAATAGAAGCAGTTAAACTAACAATAGGACAAGATATTTAAAGAATTAAGAAGATATTTCGAGGAATATGGGTAATAAAACAGTTGATGGGCCCCATTGACTTCCATAGTATGGAAAACAAATACTATGGAAGTCAATGGGGTCCCATCAAATATTCTTCAAAATATCTTCTTTTGTGTTTAGCAGAAGAAATAAATTCATACAGATTTGGAACAATTTGAGGGTGAGGAAATGATGACAGAATTTTCATTTTTGGGTGAACTATCCCTTTAAATCTGTCAGATAATGTGACTCGAGGTTTAGTATCATGTTAATTATGTCATTAAAACACATGGGAAACAAATGGGATCACTTCCTGAGAATGAGCTGAAAGTAAAGTGCTGTCATTTCACACCTAAGGTCAAAAGAGAGTGTGTTGTCAACAGCTGCTCATTGTCAAGGAGTTTATTCTTTCTTTCTCACACACACACACACATGTAGAGGCGTTTACGAACATTCCCTTGTCAACCTTGTCCTCTTGCTGAAGTGTTGGTGAAGTGTGATGATGTCTGTGTTGAGGTATGTTCATACAGAACTGGCTTTGCAGGTCATGCCATGTCACAAACGTCTATGGTAGGCAAAGTATCTCACATGTCAGAGCTCAAGAATTCAAGACTCAAACTACAGTTCCTTCCAAAACAATGAATCTCTCTCTCACACAAAACAATAGTTTTAAGAAGACTGAAGAAATGCACACTGGCGAGAGAGTGAAAATAATGACAGATCGGCTTGTTACTTTCACTCCACTGTGAAATATGATGGAAGTGTATAAATGTAGCTGTTACGTAATAAGGCTCAAAAATTAGGAAATTTAAAAAAGTAGAAACACCCTAAGTGGTCATGGTTTATGAGTTAAATCCCAAAGTTCAGTCTGTTTCAGGAAAATAGAACATAATTCTGTGGGTACATCTATGGGCGCAGTGTTATAGCTATTTCATTAAGTGTTTTGAGTCATAGCTGATATTGTTTATTTTAGAACGACTTGAATACTGTACTGACCAATCAGCACCCAGAATTGGAACTTTCCATTTACAGTGATATAATAACACTTATGGCCCGAACCCAGATCACTTTTGGGACCTTTGTATTTATAAAACCCTGTACGGCTATTGCACTGAATAGAAAATTATATATTTGAAAAATACAATGAATTACAAGGCTGTACAAAACAGTGCACTATTGAAGACTTATATACTGAGGGTTTAATTACATTATTTTAATATAGTCGGTCGGGAACTAGTGGGCCGGTCTAAGGTATGAAACTCCAGGGCTGAAAATTAGTCCCACTCCGGCCCTGCTTATAGTAATAAATACCTGGAGATTATTCATATACCATGCCTCATGTAAGTCATGTTTATGTGGTATGTTATATGTTCTCATGCCTCTAAAATGGAATTTAAACATGTATGATTCTACATGAGATCTATGAGGTTTGAACGTAGGGTACTGACAAGAATGTTGAAATGTTCAGGCAGGGAATAAGCAGTCTGATTGGCTGTAAACACACATTAATATTCTCTGTTCACTGCAATATTGTTCAGCTAATGTTGTATGTGGTACTGGGAAAAACACAATTAACTAATTTAGACAATCCAATGTGAATTTGGATGATGTACTGCCATCTGTTTTTACACGTTGGACACATTGATGGTGCGTTCTACTCCAGGTGAAGCGCTAAGTGGAATTAAAGAGAGATTTTGGAAAACTCGAAACATTTTCCTTTAAGGTTACACTTTACAATAAGGTTTCATTTGTTAAGATTATAAGTTAACGTGAACTAACAATGAAAATACTTTTAAAGCATTTTCTTTTAATCTTAGTTCATGATAGTTTCAGCATTTACTAATACATTGTTTAAAAAAGATGTAGCCTACTAGAAGGTCTATCTTGTTAAAATTATTCAATGGACCTAAGCTAATATGAATAACAATAAACAGTTAACAAATATGAATAAATACTGTATCAAATGTATTGCTCATTGTTAGTTAATGATAGTTAATGCATTAATGAACATTAACTAATGGGACCTTATTGTAAAGTTTTAATAATTAAAACAACATACTGTATGACAGAGAAAAAGGAAATGTTAGGTTAGCGAACGTACCTGTAATATCGTCTCTTCAGTAGTTTATGGCCTTTTGATTCTTCCAGCTAATATACCATGTTATCATTTAACTGATTTATAAACAAACAAAAAAAAACATATGTACGAAACAAAGTTGTGTTTCGTTAAATAAAGGTGAAGTGTAATTTTTGCAGCACTATATCACCTCTGGAATTGGAAAATGACTGTTTACTTGGCCCCAATCTCAGGGCATGAGCTGATGTTACATGCTATTATTATGATACATAGTAAAATATGACAATGTTAAATGTTAGATCAATGCATGCCATATGAATTCGTGCTGAGCAAGTGGGCAGTTGTTTGTAATTATTTGAGAATAAAATAGACCTGTTTTGACTTTTAGTCTTTTTAATATTGTAATGACCTCAGTATTGTGTTGTCTTGCAGGGCAAGTGGATGAGAAATTTAAGAAGTTCGCACCGATTTATAGGAAACAATATTCTCTGGCTTACCTGTCCCAGATCCAAGATGAACTTGAACAACGCAAAGAGGAACGCACACAGTTCCTCAAACAACGGGTAAGAATCAGATATCTCAGATATGGATTTAACAGACATATCTGTATTCATTTATTCTTATGAAATCGACACATTACATTTAATTATCCAGGCCCTTCCAGAGTCTGGAAAGGTGCTGTATGAGGAAATTGTCCGGTACTTTGATGACGGCAGGAAGTGGAAGGATAGATATATTGTGATGCGTGCCAGTCACGTCCTGGAGTGCCACGAAAGCTACAAGGTATTAGCCATTATTCACCATCTGAGAATGAACATTTGCTAACTGGGGTACTGATAACATTTCCTACCTCAGCATCTCTAACCTGCTTTCCTGCAGGCGTTTGTGAAAGGTGCCCCTCCAACACTCAGACTGATACCTACAGGGGGCACCATTCTGACTACAGAAAAAAAATATATGGAAATGATTGACCAGGCCTGCCCTTGCACCAACAGTGAGTAAAATTAATTAAGTGTACCCATGCATAGATTTTAAATGAGCTAATTTTATACTTATTCAGCAATTAGACCAGATAACTTTGAACAAACATTCTATTAATGTTACCTATTTGTTCATAACTTTGAGAGGAACCTTTCCAGCTACAATGTTAGCCAAAGTTCTGAGAGTGTTCCCTATTAGCTGGGTAGACAGTCTTTTCGTTATTAGTGGGGTTCAACGCATGCCATGTAGGATAAATTGACACACAAAAGAAGATATTTTGAAGAATGTTGGTAACCAAATAGTTGATGGGCCCCAATGACTTCCATATAATTGTTTTCCCAATGGGGCCGATCAAATGTTTGGTTACCCATTTTCTTTAAAATATCTTCTTTTGTGTTCAGCAGAAGAAAGAAATGTATACAGGTTTGGAACAACTTGAGGGTGAGTAAAGGTTGACAGAATTTAAATTTTTGGATGAACTCTCCCTTTACAGTAAGTTAAGTCACAATTATTTATATAGCAGAAACAGGAATTTATTTATATAGCAGATTATGTCAAAGCAGCTTCACAGTAATAAACAGGAAAATAACAGTGTTAATGTTGTAGAATTCATCAATTATGAAACAAATTCAGTTTCAGCTGTAAAGCAGCTCTACAGAATTATTATTAAGCATCAGTGTAGTTGATTCAGTTCAGTTCAATGTTACAAAGTTAGTGTTATTATCCAGCTCAGCTCAATTCATATCAAATTTCGTTCTCATTCAATAGTCTCAGTGCGGTTGAATCTATAATATTACTGAATATTGTCTTTTCAGTAATATTAAAACCCATTCATTCCTGAGCTAATGATAAATGTTATTTTGTTTTTAATAGAACATGACTTCATTTAAATTTAGCATAAAATCAAAATTTACCCTATTTAATTTCTTTATGTTAATGGTATTATTGTGAACGATTCATCCATGCATTACTTAAGAGTTCTGTTTTTGTTTTCAATAATCATCATCATTTATTTACTGAAAAGATTCACGAAGAACGTAATAGATAATATACAATAATTATTATACATACAGTAAACATATTGGTGAATTAACTAACATAATGGAGTAAAATGTGATTGTGTGTGTGTTATGATGCAGATGTCCAGGAGGATTTCGCGCCCCCTGTGGCGGACATGCCGGGGGAGTACCCAGTTTATCTTAGACTTCCGTACCGCCGAGATTCCTATTTCTGTTTCCGAGATGAAAACTCTCAAGCTGAATTCATCTCGGTCTTATCTGACTGCATTCGCCACCAGAACAAAGGTATGACTTTCACTGTAATAAAACCAGTGCCAGTGGAAGTTGTGGTGTAAAGAAATATATCAGCTAATATTAAAGGGAAAACATTTGGTGTATTCAACAGATTTTCTCAAGAAGAAGACGTGTGAGGTTAAAGCTTTCCTCAAAGCCTTTCAGCTCTATAGGGAGGAGAATGACCAGTATGAATCATGGGATATGCTCATAGGCAGTGATATGCGGGTAGGTGTCCTTCCACATTTGTGCTGGTTCAAATTGACAGCACATGTTGTTAGAAACTTAAACTATTTTATGAAAATAAACAAGATAGCTTTTGTTCTTCTAGTATGGCATGGGATGTTCTAGCTTTTGGAATGTTTTGGGATTTACTGTGACAGTTCTGACAATCTTTATCATTTATGAATGGCTGGAACCAAGTTGCATTTCCATATTTGGTATAATTTGGCATTTTGTTTTCCAAAAAGAATTTGTTTTCCTCATTAAATGGTAGATTTGAATATAATTTGATTTTTTTTTTTCGTTGTATAATACATAGTCTTGCATGTATTATCTGTACTCAGTCTCCAAAACCCCAAGTCACACGCTGTTACATCAGAGCATTTGTGGAATCTGAGTAATGCTGCACACAGGGAGTTTCACTGTAGTTTCACCTGTTAAAGCAAACGTGACAATGAACTATCGATACACCACATTTGTCAGTGTATCTCACAGCACATATTATTTTAACTTTCTGTTAGAAGAAGGTAGTTCTGAAAGAAGCTCACAGTATGAACATTGTGAAATATATATATACACATTTTATAACATCATTAATATAAATATACAGAATGTATATTATAATACATTTAACAATGAATTCTTTGGTTTCTTTTATCATACTTTTTCTGCAGTTTCCTAAAAGTATTTGATGCTTTTCTGTGCTTGAATCATGGATAAGGGGGTAAAATCATTGTAAAACTTGGCTTTGAATGGCTTATTACTTTAGTATTTCATTATTAATATTGTTACCTGTTGTCACATTAGTCTGTTCATTTAAATACTTTGATTTGGATCGTGTTTGAGAAATGACTGAAGGCAGATCAATGATTGATTTTGTGGTTTTAGGTAAACATATCAGTCTAGTCTGTGGTTTAAGTTTACATAAATTGCGCCACATGGGGGTTTAGCACTGCGGTGTTTGCGCTCAATGTTTATCAAGTCTTGTTTAGCTACAGATGTATGTGTTATATTTCTGAATCTGTGTTTGTTTGTGTGTGTGTTTAGGGTCTTGCTAATCTGTTCATGGAGGACTTAATGCCCTATCTGGAGAAAGAACTGCAGCCATGTATGAAGAGCAAGAGGGCAGACAAGAGAAGAGTGTGGTTTGCAGTGCGTCTCTTTCCTGTCCTAGTGATTGTACAAATTGTTTCCCATTATGGCATTGGGTTTCTCCAGAACCTGTCCTTTATACTTGAAACTTGGGTGTGTGATGTTGACGTAGATGTAGGATGCCCCACACCCAAATAGCTTTAGGCCAGGGAGGCCAGAAATGTCCCTTTGGTGTTTCCTAAAGGGTGGGACAAACCAGAAACATACCAGAAACACATTACATTCCATAGCTGGGATTATGGACGTTACAAAAACTTATGTAACAGTTATTAATTAATTGACCCCTGCCATTTGTCTCAAAGACAGTTGAAGCTGCTTATTTTCTGCTGCAAGAGCATCTAAGGCAAAGGCTGACCACACTGAAGGAGGAGTGCAAAGACATGGTGAAAGAGCAGGAGGCACGCATGCGCTCTGACATGGACCAGATCACCAGCTCAAGAACTTTCCTGGAGAGCAAACTAAGAGGTACACTAAAAATTTGTCAATTTCAAGCTTTTAAGAGCCTTGAAACTGAAAACTGTCACTTGCCAAACATTGGTGTACACTACCTTTCACATTTAAAAAAAAATACATTTATACTTTTATGAAGCAACTCACTTTATAATCATAAATGAATCCTGAAAAAAAAAGATGAATTCCTCAAAAATATAAAGAACAACAAATGTTGTCAGCATCGATAATAATAAGAAATGTTTCTTGAGCGCCAAACCAGCATATTAGAATGATTTCTGAAGAATCATGTGACACTGAAGAATGGGGTAATGGCACCATACATTTCAAACATTATCATATACATCATATACACCGTCGGTGTATGAATGAGTGAGTAAATGGGTGAATGTGAGGCAAAATGTAAAGCGCTTTGGTGGCCATTGGGTCTGTGAAAGCGCTATATAAATGCAGTCCATTTACTATTTACCATAAATATCTCACAAAATGTATATTTCATTTGAATGGCCATCAGTAAAGCAAGTTGGTTTACACTTTATTTTAAGGTGTTCTTGTTGCAGTGTACTTATACATTTAAGTACGGAGTAAAATTAATTAACACTTACATTAACATGTACTTACTACAGGGTTAGGAATATGGTTTGGTTAAGGGTTAGTTGCATGTAATTATGAAACTGTTATTACAACAGTAATGTAACAAGAAAGTGTTACCCGCAAGATGTCTTTTGGCCTCAGTTACTCTGTTGTAAAAATTAGTATATGTGGGTGTTTACCATATCTGAGTCTATGTACTGTACCATATTTTTACTCTCTGAATCTGGGTAGCTATGGTAGCTGAGCCAGCAACAAAATACTGCACTGAGCAGGTGCAGCCTTACCTGCCGGCCGTCTTGGAGGAAGTCATGGGGCCCATCAGCCTGGGCTTCACAGAGGCCCGGGACTTGAGCGAGGCCATGATGGAACAGCTTTGTCAGGACTTCGAGGATGCTGACCAGAGTGAGGAACTCCGACAGGTGAGAGGAGCTAAAAAATGTATGATTAAGCAGCATAAACAGTACATACATCTTGTGCATTATATTCCATTTCTTAAGCCAAATTATTATTGTTGTTTTTTTTATATTAATACTAGCCTATATATTAAACTCTTCTTCTGTTGCTCTCTTTCTTAAGGCTATGTTTAAGATGAGTAAGGCTAATTTACAGAGCTGTTATGACAAAGTGAGTGGACTGGCAGATCACATCCAAGAGCTACAGCAAACCTTCAACTATTGCATCAAAGGTTTGGCGAACAGCACAGAGATCGACTTAAAACAGGTACCCAAAACTACAACCAAGAAGCCGACTCCTTTCTGAATTAATTGCATACACTCTATAGTCTTACTGTGATCGATTAGGGTTTCAGTGTCTGTTGTGTGATGGTTTTAGCTGATGGAGAATCTAGAGTACACCTTTGAGCTGCTCGTGCGAAAGGCTCTGGAGGACCCATCTACCAACCTCACGATGGCTATGCAAAAGGCTTCGAACAGGGTTCTGAAAGTAAGCATCTAACTTTTCATTTACAAACACAAATGTGTCAGATTGCTTAGCTTAATTTATCTTTGTTCTACAGCAATTTGACTACGACAGCAGCACAGTGAGAAAGAGGATCCTCCAGGAAGCTTTGATCAACATCACTCTACCCAGCATCAAGAAGCATCTGGCCCCATCCTTCAAAGAGGTACATTTGAGATCAGTCGCATAATGACAGAAATACGAGCACTAACAGCTTAAATATACAAACCATACATGTTTGAGATTTCCTAATAGACATGTCTTTTCTTAAAATTTACCTTTAGGAACTACCTAAATTTGAGCAATACATATTCGCCGATTATTCAAACTTCATCAGTGTGGAAAACTTGTATGACGACATTATCCACCAGATACTGGAAAAGGACATCAGCATGGGTATGTCACATGATCACAACAAGACTACAAGTTTTCTCGCAAAGACGTTATTGATATTAGGCATTATTTAGTACAAAGCAGTTTTAAAAGTATTCAAATAAAATGCATGCATTTTTGCATGAGGATGGTGTCTATATATAAAAAAAGTCAAATCAAATGAAATTTTTGGAAGAAATAGAGTTTAAAAAAAAATTGGGATCCGTAAGATTTTTTTAAATGAAATGAATCCTTTTATTCAGCAAGAATGCATTAAATGGATTAAAAGTGATGGTAAAGACTTTTACATTATTAAAAAAAGATTTCTATTTTGAATAAATGCTTTGAAATGAACTCACTATTTATCAAAATAATCCCGACAAAAAAAAATGTATGATGGTTTCCACAAAAATATTAACCAGCACAGCTGTTTTCAACGTTGGTAATAATAATAAGAAATGTTTCTTGAGCACCAAATCAGCATATTAGAATGATTTCTGAAGGATTATGTGACACTGAAGAATGGAGTAATATTCACTTTACCATCACATGAATCATATACATTTCAAAATATATTCAAATAGAAAACAATTATTTTAAATTGTAAGATATATGATATATATATATATATAAAAAATAATCTAATCATAACTTTTGAATGGTAGTATACTGTACATCCACTATTAAATCCCTATTAGAGCCCAGTGGTTAAAATACATTTCAAAAGTTGCTCAGAGGAGTGTCCGACTCCTAATACATTTTAGGGCCACCACCCTATATATAAAAATCCCAAAGAACAAGAAATTATTACTCATTTAGATTTGCCTAAAACATTCTCGAATCTGATTTGTGCTTTTGATTGGCAGTGGTCAAGGAGGCAGCCAACTTGAAGAAATTCAACCTGTTGACAGAGAGCAGATACAACTTCAGTGTGTCCAGCCTGTCCTCCACTCCCCCGGGATCTGCACCCAGCAGCCCAGAACACTTAAATACCTCCCCGAGCCTGCGTACGCCCCTGCCGCCCTCCCCACTGCTGGGCAACGGCATAACAGCAAACAAATCAGCGACTGTTCACTCGCTAAATTCAAAAAGTAGCACACTGAGCCAAGCTCTGCCTGTCATGGGAAAAATCAGTGATGAACAGAACAAGACACTCTTAGAGGAGAGCAGTGATGATGTATTTGCCACTGCTGAAACATCAACCTCGATTACGTCAGCCGAGCCTAAACCAGAACTCATAACAACCACAATCGCCACGGATGTCATTCCCACCCCTGTTATTATGGTAACAGAAGCCACAGAAAGTGCTGGTACTTCTAGTTCACCAAAAGGAGATGATGCAACTTTTTCAGACTTTGCTAATAAGTCCACAATAGCAATCAGTCCGATCTGTATGAAAACCTCTGGGTCTAGTGGTGACCCTGCTGAAACGGAGGACAACAGCAAGCCAGCGGTTTCGTCAGATGATCCAGCCCAGATTAAAGCACAGATACGCGATGAAAGCACATATCCAATAGCCGTTTGCTTATCTATTGAAGATGCAGAAGCTGGAGATATCTATAAAGAGTTCACAGACAAACAAATCATGGATCTTCCAGAAAAGGCCTCAGAAACCCAGTCTTCACCACACCTTGAGGAGGAAACCAGCCCCCTGGGCTGTGTGAAGGAGATCCGTGACCTGGTAATGGAGGTTATTGAAGTCGAGGAGGTGCTTCAGACTTGCAAAGACAATGGAGAAAAAGTTCAAATGTTCGAGGAACCAGAAGCTATAGTTTAAGATTTAATGACTGTGTCAGTACTTTACTCAACTTGTTCACACCTCCATTTTACTGTGTGAAGAGACAAATTGTACATTTTGAACTTGGTTTGTTCATTGTGCAGGAGGTAATTATAATTTACTTGATGTATGTATATATATATATATATATATATACATACATACATATATATATACATTTCAAATAAATTAATACTTTATTCAGCAAGGATGTATTATACTGATGAAATGCATCAATTTCCAGTTATTAAACTGTAAAATTACATTTTAAATATATTAAAATAGAAAAAAAAAATTCAGAATATTAACATTACATTTAAAATGTAAATTTAAAAAATCTTACCAACCCCCATTTTGAATTTTTTGTATTGTGTGGTTTAAAATTAGTTAAAGAGGATAACATGTTTCTCTATCTTATAAGGACTATTTTAAGAATGTCATAAAGATAACCTTATTTCAATATTGTTTTAAGCTAATATGTTCAAATGAATTGAAATGTTAGCATTTGAATAATATATGAAGTCTAAATTGTAACATAAATATTGTATTTGGAAATGATATCCTTTGTGAAACTTTGAGGAATCCTTTAGTAAGGAACATGCCTTTCCGCAAGGTGGTTTCCAACCTTCAGACGACACATTCAAAACAGAGCCGGCCATGAACCAGGGCTGACTGTTTACTTTGGACCCATAATGCAGGCCTGACGGGTTTGTTTGCCATGGAATCTGGCTCTGTGACATACCGAGAGCACAGTGCCGTTTTATGTCATGAATCTGTATTGAGTGACACAAAAAGATTTGACACATATGCACTTCAGATTCGCAGAACCACTGAGATCTGTCTATATATTGTAACGTGTTCAAAATGCTGTTCTGTTACAAATAAGGATGCATTTAATGTTAATGTTTTACTTTATTCGTTTTATGTGATTCGATTGATTCGTTGTCAAGTTAAATATGGAAAGAGGCTCCACCCCTTGTGAGAGTGATGGGGAAATCTGGGGGGGAGGAGGAGGGGAGAAGAGCGCCTCGCTGTTTCAAGTGTGGTTCTCTTATAAGTCGGGTGTGTATGGCGTGGGCTGTGCCGACAACAGCCTCTAATAAACACCCTTTGTTATCAAAACCGTCTCGTCCTTGGCTGAGAACGTTACAATATGGAGACAGTCATTACTACAGATTCTGCTCTGGGCACTTGACTATCCATTTAAGATCCACATAAACAATAATACAGTCCATCAATACATCTTTGAATAAGCATGACCACCCTTTAAAGGAATGTTGGAATGATAGGTTGAATGATTAAATATGTATGGCACGCATGGCATTTCATCACATTAATGTGAGAGTAAACTAGACATTTGCTGAGCTTCTGCTGTTCTAAAACTCTAAAAGACACGAAATATTCCTACCAAAGTAAACACAAGGAAACCTTTTGCACATCAAATTTTGTATTCCATATTGCACCACAATTAAATAAAAAGGCATTTTATATTAAACAGTCATTAAGACAATCGCCAGGCACCAATGAAGTTACTAAAACGCACATCAATAGACCAGTATTATTTTAAAAGAACACTTAAGTTTGGCTACATTACAAAATACATAAGAATTAGTTAACAGTGCACCATAAAAAAGAAAGCTGTGTTGTTATATTTGTACTACTACAGTATCAAAGGCAAAGTAACAGGCAACATTAGTGAGTAGTGAAGATATTAAGACTGCAAAATGACATTATTGTTACAATGGGCACTGTGCTGTAAAGACAGCTGTCATTTATGTAATGTATTTGAACATAATATCATTTCATAGGTGAGTCCACAGGGGGGCACCACAATCTTTAAAATGACCCTTACAGTCAGTTGCTTTATGTAAACATGCAACATTGATTGAAATCCTATAATGAACAACAATAATTGACATGAGTTGCAGCTGAAGCTTTACAGTATTTTGTTTCCAGAAACCTAAATCTGAACCACTATCATGCAGTTAAACTGACATGATTGTTGTAATGTATAAAGAGTGGGTGTTTTCATCCCTCAAAACTTAACTCACCTATACCACTGAAATAGCATGCAACTAAACGCCTACTTTTGCTATATTGCACAGAAAAGGCAATGTGGTGCCATTAGTTTCTTCAGTGTTGACAAGCAATACACAGTAGGCTACAGTATACACTGAAACTACATGATCTAGCCCAAAATCAAAGCTTCATTGAAAACATTCTGTTTAAAACACATTCAGACTGAGATTCACGTGGAATGCAATAAATATAGAAAGAAATACTGACAATGAAAAAAATCAGTAGTGTTGCTTTCATTTGAAATGATAAAGAGACCTAACTAACAGTATTTGAGTTCCATTTAATCGGTTTTCAGAGTTTACGAAGGTTTTTTCGAAATGGCTTCCCTGATACTCTCCTACCGTGATGCTGTGTAACCGTAATAAAACTGCTCATCAGGCCGAAAGCCGTAAGCCGTGGCAGGACGTGCTGGAGTCACACCCGTCTGTACGTATCCGTCTGTCAAAGAACTGGCGGAAAAGAGACACAGCCATCTGTCAGCCAGTCATATAACTGCTGAAATACATGAGAGTTGAGATTAATCAAACAAAGGTTACATAAATCATCATAATGTGCATTTTATGAGGCAATTACTTGTTTAAATGTTAGATAAAGGTTATAAGTATCACTAGATGGCGCTCTGATTCTGCAAAACAGAGCTACCGAGATTAAAACAGAACTACTTACTAATTATTCACACCAGGAGTGTTCATAAATTAAACTTTTGATTTTTAAACCAGTACAATTATATTAATTCTTCAAGGCAAATGGCCAATGTATGGAACCCCTTATCCATAACATAAAAAAAAACATGCTCTGGAAAGTCATAAATTATGACATAAAAAAATTCTAAATTATGAGTTTATTCTAAATTAGTCATTATGTGATGAAAATATTAAATTATGATTTCAAAATCTAAATTATGAGAAAAGAAAATCTCGTAAGAAATCTAAATTATGACTAACATTTTTAAATTATTAGATAAAGTCGTCAAAATTATTATTTAAATTCTTTACATTCTAAATTGAAATTATGAGATTAAAAAGTCAATTATGACATAAATCAAAATTATGACAGAAAATCTGAATTATGAGTCAAAGCTAATAAAATCAATTTTGACTTTCTCATTATGACATGTCAATTTCGACTTAGTATGTCATGATTCGAATTAGTGTCAATTTTGACTTTTTTAATCTCATAATTTCTACTTTTTAAATCATAACTTTGACTTTTTAATCTCAATTTAAATTTGGACTTTATGTCATAATTATGACTTACCAGAGCATGATTATTATTTATTTTTTTAGGTGGCAGAAATGGGCTAATGGGATCATGTCACATTATATTCAATTTATTATGTTGTGTTATGCGATATGTTATGGGTCATGTTATTTTATGAATATATATATATATATATATATATATATATATAAGATTATGTGGACTAGCATAATCTGCCTCTTAATTAACAACACCAACCCGTCTCTGGCCTGTCCTCATAAAATATGGGTTGTTTGCTTTGCCCCTTCCAGCTCCCATAATGAGGAGTTGTTTAGACTAAAAAACTTCCAGTGATCGGTTACATGTTTTATTAACCTCTTAACTCCCAGAACACCCTCCCTCTCCAGGCATCATGCCTGTCTTTATCCTCTGAGGGACACCACTGCTGTCTGGGGACATTTCAGACTTTGTTAAAAGGCTTGAAGAGAAAAAAAATGGATGTCAAAGAGTTTGGGTGAAACCGTAGCTTATAACTATCAGAATAAGTTCAACTGAAAAGGGTTACATGGGAAGGATAAGGCTGTGTGTTGTAGGTCAGATGATTAATCCAAAGAGGGTCCAGGTAAGAGACATGCCTAAAAAGTGTGTTACGATCATTCTTACAGTGAATAATTCATCCCAAAGGAATGCTGTCATCCTTTCCAGGAAAGTAAAAATGACGCATTTTCTGTAAGGTTTCGCAAAGAATGATGTTACAAAAGACTCAAACCAACCTTTTTTTCCATTTGTCTAATCATTTAATCTAAACCAAATAATTTGAGATGGAGAAACTGTTTATTCTTCAACTTTCTTATGAAACACAGCCGTTGGCCCTTTACACTCGAGGGCCACAGACACAGTGTGTTTGGTGATAATCTGGAGATCTGAGGCTGGAAAAGATCCCAATGTCTGGCCCCAGGGGCCCCTGAGAGTTAACACAGAGGTGAGATCCTGTAAAAAAAAACACCCAGAAACCTCTAAACAGGAAAGAGTTGATGTTACCAGAATTTCGTCTTTCCTTCCTCTGGTGCCAAAAAATAATAATTTTGTTAAATTTACTGACCCTCAATGACTTTCTTTCATGAAACACAAAGGGATAAAAGAAGATGCTCTTTTCCATGAAATTACAATGAATGAATGAGCACATGAAAAATATGTAAAGCCCCATAAATTATTTTAAAAGTATTTCCTCTTTTGAAAAGGTTTGAAAAATGTAAAAATGTATTAAGTTTCATTGCATTAGATACAACTTACTCTACTGTTCAAAAGTTTGGGCTCAGTATGATTTTTCATTTTTAAAAATATCTTATGCTCACCAAGGCTGCAATTATTTAATAGAAAATACAGTAAAAAACAGTTTTATTCTGAAATATTATTACAATTTAGAATAACAGTTTTATATTTGAATATATATATTTTTTTAAATGCCTCCTTGCTTTCAAAAATAAAATAAAAATTGACCCCAAAATATGAACAGTAGCTTATCAAACCAAGTGTTATCTGCAAACTAATGATGCTAGACGTTTTCTCAGAGCTGACTTTAATTATTTAGCCATTTGTTCTATTACTTTAAACCAACTGGTCTATATTAGTGAATATATGAAGTGAGTTCCCCTCAAGTTCACACAGGTGTCTCAGCAGAGTAACCACAGGTGTAGTTCATCACATTAACTGTTACATAACGTTTGCCAACGAAGAGTATCCAAAGAAAGTCAAATAAATAAATGCCACTTGGTTTAACACTTTCTAACTTAGTGACATTAAACATTTTACGTGGCTTAAAAGTCAAAATACTTTTTGGGGCCACTGTACATTTTCAGGTTGGTCCTGACAATAATGTTATATGTGTTCAGATAAAATTGTTGCACTTAACTGCTTTGAAACCATTTAATTTTACTTTAAAATATTTTATTAATTACCTTAATGTGATTTTTGAACATTCAAAATGAGGAACTCCCTTTATTTTAAGCAAATGCAGCCAAGAATTTGTTTTTCATCTGGAATAAAGCATTTTTATGAGCTAAATGAAAGATTGCTCTGTGCTATTCTATAAATAAATGTGATTCTATTAAAGGGCTTTTAAAAGAGCCGTTCCCAGTGTGTCTGGCTCCTGGCTCGGCGCGGGGGAACTGAGGCTGGATTTCATTATTGTGTTAACCTGGATCTCTAACACCACACGGACAAAATGAAAACCACACTTTCAGGCCGCCCAATTCCCTGTGCACTCTCAGTGTATTCTACAGGTATCACTTACAAAGAACTGTGAAAAAAAACATAGCTTCCTCTGCCGCCCCCCTCCCACTCGTATTCACTTGCTCCTTATTTTTCAGCGCCTCTTCTCTGACTTCAAGACAACCACCTTTTTCTCACAGACTGATGTATCACTTAGAGCGCTCTCTCTGTTGTTGGACCCATCTCTTTTTTTTTAGACCACTGGCAACCTATGAGTAAAGACACACAATCCTAAATAAGAAGTTTCAATGAAGTCATTCTAAAAGTGTGTCTAATCATTTAAAGAGGTCATTGAATTATAGTATTAATGGCCCCATATCAAATAATCCCCTCAGATATAGAACTCAGATATTTTGCACAGTCCCATAACACAAAGTGGCCTACACCATAAATCATTGCATCAAGTCATCACATAAGTGTTTTTCTGAAACCCCTAAACAGTAGGTATATGGCAACTGAACCAGATTTGGAAAAAGCTGAATAGAGGGAGCTGTGTTTACTCTCAAAGCTAAGGGTATTACTGTTGGAGGAGTGCTACGGCCTGCTGGGATGCCGTAGGACCCTTTGGCGCAGTACTTTTGGGCCATTCCCTGCTAAAAGCAACAAAACTGGCAGACAAGGATGTGTGTGTGTGTGTGTGTGTGTGTGTGATGCAGTAATAACAAAACCAACAGATCCGCTGCAGTCAGTCTGACCGATTCATCATATTTAAATGTACCTGCTGAGGAAACCCTGTGGTCCTAACAGGTCTCCATTCTGGAAGTCTGTGAAGAACTCTGGACTAATGGCACCATCTGCTGGGAT